TGCAATTGTTCTTTTATGGCACCTTTTCCCTGACCTGAAACACGGGAATGCATCCTAAAAATGTGCTTTGATGAAATATGCTCTGCCCATGCTGGACAGTAGTGCAGGAATTGGATTTGCTTGTCAAGAGTAAATGCAACTATTATTAATCAAGCTTATTAACATTTTAGCCTCTGGTGTCCCCTCCATGTGACCAGCATGCTTTACTACACATCATGGAGTGAGCAGCCGCATCACTGGCAGCTCCTGTTGGATACACTACAAACCCCAGTGACAACATCATCCAAGCTGCGCCTTTTTCTCTTAAACAGTAACTGTCTCTCTGATGTGATGTATAAAATATTAAATCTCTGGATCCACATGCAAAGTAGACATTTACTAAATTATGGTTAATATGGTACTTATGAGGGCTTTCTTTTTTTTGCTAATATATGTATACCAAGAATATGTAGGTTTAATATATAAAATAAAGTTATTAAAGCAATAATTGGTGTTTATGAATGCTTTTGTTTTGGTAGTTGTCATTTGTCCTTTTTGCTTTTGTCATATTTGATATTACTCAATAGTACATTAAAGATTTTATGTGGATGTAACTCATGTGTGGAGGCTCATTTTAATTTTCACTGAAGCCCTTTGTTTTGTCCTGTAATCTCACTAAGTGCACTTTGGGGCAAATCAGTGGTATCTAATGCATGTGCTTATGTGGAATTAGGGATCTGAAACCTTTTTAGTAAATAAAGTGCATTAACTATGATCTGAGAAAGTCTATTCGTTTCTTTGTGTACCACATGGTGGCATCCTTGGTCTCATGGTAAAAAACATCATTCAGAATTTTACCGCAGGTACAAACGTCTGTTAATTATGCCTAAATTATTTGAGCAGTAGTTTTTACTGTAGTAGTATTCTCACATTGGCAGAGCATTTTGTTATCTTTAACTATGTACAAAACCTTTTAAAATGGTTTATTTTTTTATATAAATACGTTTTACGAAGATTGGGCCTAAAATATCAAGGAACGTTTTTTTTAAGTTTGGACGCCTCGCTGTGTCCTCACAAAAGTGAACGATTGTAAAACCCGCAAAGATGTTCGGGTCCTAAAACAGACTCTGCCTTAATGATTTAAGTGAGTTTTATTAGTTCCGACTACACATTGAAAATTGAGAGTTTAAAACGTCAGGTGACCCTTTAAATTAGAATGAATTGCATTGGTTCAGAATAACCTGGACATTTCAGTTTAATCTCTCAGTGGAGGTCTGCAACGCTTGACTGACCGTATTAAGGGAAGTGGTGCTCAGACTGGATGCTGTGGAAACCTGTTCATAAACCGGTTATGAGCATGTAGAACACAAAGTTGTTCTCTGCTGTCAAAAGAAAGACCGAATAAACATTGTGTGGGGCGAGTTAGAAAGCGCTTCGGGTTGTTTTGGTAAACTGACCGTTTACGAGTACGTGAGGAAGCAAGGTTAAATAAAACCAAGTGGAAGAGAAAGTTGAAATGGCTTCAATCTAAAGACTGAAGTGAGCCTCTGAAATCTCAAATTAAAGAAGTGTGTGTGTGTTTTTTTCTGCCCACTGTGCTTATAAGGAAGGAGTAGGTTCTGAGTTGCATCACACAGAAGGTCACACTGCAGTGAGTGCGTAAACAGTACTGGAACAGCACAAAGAAGTACTTCATCCATATCGGGAAGTTGTGTGGCAATGCAAATCACACGTCTGTAACCGCTCGCGCTCCGCTGACACGTCTTTACATGAGAATAGAAAGCTGCGGGAATATTCCGGATACGTCCATGTGACTCGGAGCACGTTGGGAGAAATGTGTTCATCATATAAGACATTAAGAATGACAAATGTCTGTTGGTTCTTGGAACGCTGAGCGGTCTTTGCACCAGAGACTGATGGTTGAAAATGTTTTCATGGTCGTCTGTGATGGTCTTTTGGAATGAAGAGTTCAGTCCCCTCGAGGCCCGAGTGGAGACATTTTTTAGTTTTTGATATGGTCCATCTGTTTCGCATGACTTTTGGGACATTGAAATATGGCGAGTAAGCCAGAAGCAACCGAGGGTCAGACTGGACAGGAAGTCTGAACATGCAGAAACATCGGCTACTTCAAATGTATCTGAAACATTTCCCAGACTGATTCAATTATTTCATAGTTTTTTTTTTTTATGTGACTATTGAGTATAAATTGGAGTACATGACCATGAGGCTCATAATAAGAGAGAGAGAGATCTTGAGCACCCGTTACCTGGATATGTTAGAAACCCTAATTGTGTTTATTCTGGTTTGTGAGAGCAGCCAAGTGTTGCATGGTATTCTTGGTCTTTGTCGGCCTCATGTTGGGCTTGGGAATTTGAGCATTTGGGTATTTCTGTGTTAATCTCGTCTCTTTTTTTTTCTTTTTCTTTACAGGAAATCGTTTTTAATGCAAACTACTTCCCACAGAGTTTCCATGTAAACTGGCCACATGTTTTATTGATGGTTCAAAGTTCCCTGACTCGTGCCTCTGTCCTGTTTATTCTCAACTCAGGTCAACTTCATCTGCTTTAAATAGTTCTTGTCTTTGTGAAAGGATAACTTTATCCCAACTTGTAACCAGGTTTTCAAACAAAGCAACTTCTTTTCAGTAGTTGGCTCCAATGAACACACGTATGTTTGAGCATCTGAAAAAATAAAACAATATTTTAAATGGGCTGTTTTGACAAAGACCAGGGCTTTAGGGTTGACTACTCTGGGCTGCAGGGAAAACCCACATGGCAGATGTGGGCATCCTCAAGGAACCACAAGGGATCACTGTGTCCATAGTAAAAACACACTTAACCACAACGAGCTTCGGGGCAGTTTCATAACTATTCACATTTATTATCTGCCAATACAGCAAACAGAGGGTGTGTCCGTAACACAGTTAGACATTAAAAAACATCTGACACAGGAAGCAGTGAAGAGGAAGTGGGCGTGTCCGTGCCTCATCTGTGTGACACAATGCTGCTGTAACGTTGTCCAGAGCCCTCGACTTGGAGACGGAAAGGCGCTGTGACTTGGATCCAGCTTTTACAATACTCACTTAAGCTTTAATCAATGATAAAACATTACGTTTTGGACCATGATTCATGAACACAAGATAAACAAGGTCAACGCGTTCTTTAGCACCTAACAGTGCTTTATTTGGGGGGCCGCTAACATCAGCGTGCTATCATTCCCACAACCATAAATCCATGTTAAGCAGGTGTAATGATTCCTATTCGACCATCTTAGCGTTCTAATTCACAATTGACGAAACCTACAGCTGAGTCAGAAATATTTAAATTTTGGGTCATAAACAAAAGCCACAAAATATTTGACAACCAGTCAGTTTCACCTGATGCAGGTAGACAAAAGCAATGATTTTTAAGAAAATCTATCTAGTAGTTTTGAACTTATTTCACTCAAAACGTAGTGTGAACCTGCTGTTGGCATCACAGGAGAGGTCATTAGGATTCCTCCTCTGCTGTCCTCGACTTGGATCCAAGCTGCAGGTGCTTAAGTGAAAAGTTCTTTAAAAGCAGAAGCAAAGCAAGGCTTCAATTCACAAGTCAATAGTATTAAAGTCACTTTCTCCAGGACCTTGTTTTGTTGAACCACTGCACAAAGGACGAACGTAATGTGCTTCCTTAATATTCATGAAATGGCATTACAGCTCAAATTAAAAACACCTTGGGGGGCTTCTCCGGGGAGAATTTTTTCCACATTTTGCTTTTTCCGCGGGCCTTAAAAGAATTGGAGGTTAGGGGGGGGGGGGGGGGGGGGGGGCTGCACTTATTGTGAAAGGAAGCCTGCTCCAGCCACAGCAGGGAAGGAGGATGCTCCCTGTCTTCCGCTCTGTTCCCTGCAGCTGATTGATGCTGGCAGCCTTTTACCTTTTAGTTTACCGGCACAGTGCAGGGCTCGGCTTTGTCACTGGGAGCTGCAGCAATCTCCGGCCTGCTGCTGGGCGCCGAGAGCAGCTCAGCGGAGACTGGCGACATTTACACCCTCCCTCTCCCCAACGAAGCTACACAAGAGCAGACGGGAGAGCCCCTTGAAGAGGACGGATAAAATGGCCACTGGAGGATCCCAGATTTCAGTCTCCGTCCGCAGCGGTTTTACGTCCCACTTCTGATAACGCGGCAAAACACTTTGTGGTGTTTAAAACTGCTAGATCTGTGGTTTTTATAAATGTGTTTTGTATTCTTTTTGCATTGCTGAGTTATCAGGTAGAAAAAGAAAAGAGGGGGTGAGGGAAAAAACTTAGACAGGTTTGTCGGACATGCAGGCCTCAGCAGAGTCGTGTGGAAGTTCTCATGTGATTTATATCTTGCTTTCATTTCCTGCATCCTACCTTTTCTCATGTGCTGATAGGGGTCGATTTCATCATGTACTTGGACACAAAACTGCGCGCACAAACTAATTAAACAATAACCGTAGATTGTATGTGTGTCGCTTCTTTTAACTAAAGAGGAAATGATGAAGTATAAGGCTGCAATCCTTTAAGAGAATAACATAACTGTCCAATTATAAAACTGCAATATTCTCCAACATGAAATATTCAAAAGCTTCAAAATTGTAAAACATATCCTGGCTTTGAAATGATGGATAGTGTCTTTAAACAGCATTATGGATCTGCTAGGCGTTTGCCGCGGTAATCGATGTGTTGAAGGGGAAGTTCGCGTTCTTGTTAAAGTCAGTGATCACATTCACTGAGGTGATTTATAGTTAAACTCAAATCTGAGAACTGTTAATGATTCAAGGAATGTTTGGTCTCTGAATTACACATTTCACATAAGCTTATCGTATGTTCAGCTTAATAACACACACAGGAATGTAAGCCTATGATCCGTTACCATATGTTGACTTACCATGTCCTGCTTTTATTGAAACAGTGTAGTGTTTCCTTTAACAAAGAGTCACGACGAAGGTCAGAACAAGCGAGTAAGTGGACACCTGTCGATCGAGACCGAGGGCAGAAAAATGAAGGAACAACACAATTCCTGCAAAGCCAGGTGTCTTTATTCACTTTGGACATCCAGTTAAAAGCTAAATCAGCGTGAGCAGCCATTCAGCGTACCTTCACCAGCCAGCAGACCATAGAAGTGCTAATGCGTGTTAATGATGTGCCAGAGTACTTTGCAGTTATTAAATCCACCGGCTTTTTACATTGAAACAGAACGTTTAAAAAATGTGTGTCCCAAAAAACATCTCCCGGTAAAACTATTTGTTACAAAACCAGCCTGAGAAAGAGGAAAATCTGTAAGAACAGCACGAGATCCTGTTAAGCAGATGCTCTTTGAGGCTAGCCGGTGCTACGCTAGGACTGAGCGCTCTGCCCTCAACTATTCCTTTACCATACCTTTATTTTATTTTTTTGTGATAGATGCAATGTTGCCGACATACAGACGTACGCAGCACGGCTACAGCACAGTTTGTGAAACAGTTACAAAATGCAATCCATTGCCCTGTTTGCCAGACAACATTACGCTGTAAAACGAAAGTTAAATTTAGGAAACAAAACCACTGAGTTTAGGAAAACATCGTGGCTGGGCTTAAAATAACTTTGTAGGTTGAGGGTTAGACAACGAGATAGATATTCAGAAAAACAATGTCAAATGTTAATTTTAGGAAACAAAACCACAACCAAACTTAAGGTCACATTTTCAATTGATGTTTTGGTCCTGAGCAACACAAATAAACAGACATTCTGTACATGAAACCTATAGATTACATATTGTCCCTGTTTGGATTAAATATTCCAGGCTCAGGGGGAAAAAAAACCTCAAAAACGTGATGCTTCACAACTAAACTAGCAAAATCTTTCATGAGTACAAATGTAATGCAACAGCGACTGGTGTCATTAAAGGAGCTTTGGAGTAAATGGAACAGAAAACAAAAAAGGAAGAAATCTTATGTTTAGCTGCGTGCCATTTCGTCTTATTAATTCATTATACATGTGTTGTTCCCCCGGTGAGTGTTATGTCTATTTCAAAGGGCTGGAAAACACACACGGGCATTATTAAAAACATGCCGGTTGCATTGAGCTGGAGGCAGATAATGTGAGCAACTGTGTATGAATTAGCACTGATAAATTTAGAGGCTGATATGAAGAAAGCTGTTAAGTCCGACTCTGCAAATTGGCTAATTTGCCCCTCTTTATCCGTCTCCCTCCTGCGTGTGTTAATTTACGTGTGTGTTTGTGTGTGTCTGTCTGTGCGTTTTCATTGTTTGGCTCTGAGTTTTCACAGCAAAAAAAAACAACAACTCATCCACCCAGTGAAAAGTGTGTTGGAGGTGTTTTTATCAAGAACACACAGCACTGAATTCTAAATAGCAGCTTGTCACGCAAACTCATTTTCTTCCCCAAGAAGTCTTGTGACTAACACTTGGTCTTGTTCTAATACAGAAGTTCTAAGGTCTTGGAGTTCATCCTTAATTATCCACCATCACTGTAACAAGACGCACGAGACGCACAATGAGTCCCTGTGTCTTGGCTGAGTACAGCAGAGCACCACGTCCTATTTTTGGAGGATGCACTGGTGGAGAAGTCTCCGTCTATCCTTCCCTTTCCTGTCCAGATGGCAGAATCAGCTGACAGCAGATACGAGGTCTCTTGTGCAGAAATGTTTATCTTTGAAGCTCTTAAGGAGCTCATTGGTGCCAGAAGCGAGTGTGTGGGAGGTTGGGTTGTTGGAAGGTTGCTGTGTTGAATGTGTGAGAATCTTTCTTTGTCCGTGTATCTTCTCATGATCTTGTTTGCATAAATGATGTATTGTTCCGCTTAGGTGCTCCTGGACATCTGACAATTAAATGAATCATTTTGCGGCCGTTGTTTTTACAGAATTTGTTCACGTCAGGCACAGGCCCACACAAAGCCTTGATTTTGGTTAGACTCCTGGGATAGTTTGGATTGGTGCCCCAGTATCCCAGAAGGGAGCAGACATTTGATTACTGTATTATTTCTCAGCCGAGAGAAGTCCTTCCTCCTGTCCGCGGGAGATAACAGAGCTCTTGTGTGGTGCAGAAATAGGACACTGTTGTGCTCTGCCTGACCAGCTATACCAAGTCCTGCTGTCGGATATCATTTGTTGGCATTTTTTAGCCTGAACTGGGAGGAGAACGACCAGGAGCGGTCATTTGGTTTAAAACCACAGGGAGTGCTTTTCAAAGAATCATTTTCATGAAAATGATGAACCTCTATGAGAACTTACAATGAAATGTTTTACTCTTCCTCAATTTGATTTAAATAGTGTTAATATGGAGAATTTTGCAAACTTGAGGAAGTTTTGAATTCAGACAACTAGCCTTTTTTTATAGAGTGTCATGTCCAATAAAGAAACACATGGACTGACATCAGCACATCGCTGTCCCTGTAGTAGTGTGTCCTTGTTGGGTTTACGTTCATGCTGCACTTCTACTGACTGAAAGTATTTATGACAGCATTTCTCTCTTCTTGTTCCAGTGACCTTTACATTGTTTGGTGTGTGATAAATGTCACATTCAATGCCTAACACATTAGGGTGTGATGTAATTAAGGTCAAATTCTTGTCGAACCCTATTTGGTGACATTCTATTGAGGCCAATCTCTATTTCAATGGGAGGGCTGACTGGATATCTTAAATAAACCCTTGTATGAAAGAACCCAGATAAGATGGTCTAGCAAACTTCTCGATACCTCCAGAGAGGAAACAACAGGATCACTGGCGACCCGAGAAAAGAATAAATGTGTGCGTTTACTCGCAATGAAATCAGTGTATTAACACATGCGACTTAAATACGTTTTCACAGTAAACGCTCAGGGACTATTGGCTGTCTCACTTTATTTGGCCTCATATCTAAAGAGAAGAACAAATCAATGAAGCACTTTAAGGTCAAGACATGTTATCCTAAGAGCAGTAATACTGTAGTTGATATAATAAAATGTATCACAGAAAACATGTACATTTAAATATATATTATACCAAAGAAGCAACTTCCTTATAAGTGAATCCCAATGATTAAAGACTTGAGAGGCCATTTACAGCATTAACATGACGAAATACAGTACGGATAAAAAGAAAACCACATTCTACAACTCGGCCGGTATCCGCTCATTTACTTCATTGAGAACAAAGCACTTGAAAGCTACAAAGAATTACATTGTCACAAAGATGTAACGCGGCTCGGGACCCATAAAGACGTCTTTCGAACCAAAGAGCGACCGACAAGTCTCAGGAGAAAATGGCGACACTGTGGCGGAACAAAAACACCCGAAGACACCGGGCCGACCCGCGCCTCCGGAGGGCTCGTGAAAGCAAGAAACTAACGTCGGCGGCTGCTGCGCGCGCGCGCGGCGGGAGCGACGCGTTCCCGCACGCGGCGCGCGGCGCGCCCGCGTTCACCGGGAGAAAACGTACTCGGTGTAGCTGGTCCACAGCTTGTCGTCCGACGGCTCGCTGCCGGCGTACGAGCAGGTCCCGGTGGAGTTGCAGGCCACCATGTGGAAGCCCACCTCGGCCAGCCGGTCGAAGGCCTGCTCCAGGAAGTTGTACTTGAGGTAGTACCTGGCGGTGTACTTGTCGGGCGGGCGGTCCGGGTCGCGGCTCTCGTTCAGGCTCTCCCCGAACACCTCTTTGGCCAGAGAGATCTTGCTGCAGACGGTGATCCTGGCCACCCTGCGGAACTTGGCGTCCGCCTGGATGTCCCTCCCGATGGTGTAGCTGCCTCTGTACCCGATGGTGATGTAGCCGGCGTTGGCCCCCGGGGAGCGCGGGGTCCGGTCCGAGAAGGAGGAGGAGGACGACGTGACCGGACTGGTGAGCTCCGAGTCCTCCGGCTCCCCGCTGTCCTCCGCGTACGAGCCGTCTTTGGCGGCCGTCGCCAGGCGCCTCGACAGCTCCGGCAGCTGGAAGAAGTCGGCTTCTTTCTGCAGCCTCCTCCTCTCTTTGAAATACTCGGGCAGGTAGAGCTCGGCGTCCCGCAAGTAATCCAAAATGTAGCGGAACAGAAAGCCGTCCCGGTCGAAGAAGAAGCGGCCCTTGCCGTCCTTCGGCAGGTCGCCCGGGGCGCTCTGGGTGAACTTGGTCCACAGGAGGGAGTCGGGCACCGCCGTGAGGGTCTCCAGTCGGGTCACATACACCTGCCCCCCCACGTTCAGCTCCACAATGTCGGAGAAAGTGGAACTCTGGCTGTCGGTCTGGGCCATCTCTGTCTCCCCCTCTCTCTGTCTCTGTCTCTGTTGGACTCCCAACTAGTTTGAGCGTGTCCGTGCTGCACTGAAATGTTTGTGTTGGCTTGTCTGTGTGGGAGGAGAAGGAAGAGGACGACCAACAGAGACATTAACTGTTCACTGGGAAGGTCTGTGTGGAAACACAACGATGCATTCAGAGTGATGACACTTTATGACTTCCCGCGCGCACACAAAGTGACGAAAAAAGGCCCACATTAACTCAGATAGGCTGCTGAAGGCCTGTCAAACACACTTTAATGCAAGTTTGGAAGAAGTTTGGTGGGAGACGCCTTGTGCGGCTCCGTGGAAAGGTCATAAAACCTGCCGCGCCTCCAAACGTCACTAATTAGTCATTGCGTGTTATTTATACACACACCAGTTTTAGCATGGGTTAAACAGACGAGAGATAAGGTCCTATTTGTGAGGCGCATGTGCTTTGAGTTTAATGTGCTTGATGAGACCTACTTCCCATTATTCTGCAATAGGTTTCAGTAGGAAATGTGCCGTGTGTTTGACAGAAGTAGCACTTGTGTAATGAAGAGTGCATGAACACATCAAACAGGCATTACGAGCCTTCATAATACACATATTACACTGGGTCAAGTAAAACAATTGCCTGGTTACTTTTTGAGTTATTTTTCATATTTCTAACCATGATTGATAGTGCGCGTCTTTATTCCTCGCCCTATTGCACCATGACAGGTCAAATAAGGATCTTTATACCTGTAACAGGACGTTTGTCCATTTTTGCAACAGTTTAACGGCAAAAAAAAGAAAAAAAGGCCACGGTGAATTATCACGTTCCTTGTGTCTGCTTAAACTGACACGGTGTGGTCTAAAGGTCACGTGGTTTTAACACTCCAGCACACGAGCTGCTGTTATGGAGACAACGTCACAGTGGCAGACTCTTTCACCTCGCCCTGTTTACTTAAAACACCACCACTTTCCAGGAATTCCTATTTTTGTTGTGCTCAAAAACAAATTAGAATTTGTTAGAACCGATCAAACCGACTGTGAGATCACAACCACTAAATAGGCCTGAAACAAAACAGAACTTGTGTGTTCTTTTAAAATGGACCAAAACACCTTTGACCCGTATAAAGAATCCTTTATTTGTTAGGGAAGATGTTTTGTGTTGTAGAAAATAAAAAAGGAAACAATCAGAATGGTGTCAAGACAGTGCAACAAGGGTATTATAAAATAAATGTTGCTGACGTTTAGCCAGTCTGATTGAAAAGTGAAGCAAGCTTCGCTTTTGATGAAGCATAAAAACATTTAAAACCTTTATAGAAATTGAGGTTATATCACTGATTAACGTTGGTTTACATAAACTCCGAATAAACCAAACCAACATCATCCAACTTTTGCAGATAAAAGCATTAAAAAGTACTTTACTGACACTCACTGTTCTAGATTCAGAGCACAAACGTTCATTTGTCAACCGTTCATTTCCTTCTGAAGACGTTTCATTCTCCGGACCAGAGCGACACCCAGTGGACATTAAACGAAGGAGCATGTTGATGAGACGCTATGAGGAGTCACGGTACAACCTTTGAATGACGCACAGTATAAAATAACTGCACCAGCTGTGTTTTTTAGATGTCTATCACAAACAGTTTCACACACATTTAAAACGCCGCAGTCCTCCGTTCAGTCCCGACCTCGTATCTGAGTTATCGCAGGTAAAGGTTATCATTTTTATCAAGGTCTGAAAGAAGGTAATTTGATGACGGGACTTATCTCTCCAGCCATTTCCTGGAGAACATAAAGGTCACGAGATGTGGCAGTGCAATCACTCAACACATGGTTTCCACTCAGAGGCCGTTTATCTGTATTTATCTGTTGTTTTTTGTTCATATTTCTAAAGCCATGCATCACTTGTGTTGATGGCTGCTGATCCGTACAGAAGACACAATAAGTTGGGCGTTGATGTCACATGTCGGGCTTGGACTTGGAAGAAAATGCAGTATGGTGGAATGTGGAGAGTATTTAAGTAAATACATGCACAACAACTACTTTGCTCACTCGCATGTCGGCAAACAGAAATACTCGTCTGTTCTGACTGCAATGAAAGAGAGGGGGGGGGGGGGGTGGAAGGCAATGACATTTAAACCCTAATTAGTGTAAAAGCAATTCCAAACCATATCTTTACTGAGCCCTGAGGTCCTCTGGGCGTTCCATCAAATGCAGGACCACTAACCAGCTCCGTGAGGCACATTCCTCACCAGCCAACTGGGACGGCTTCATTTAAAACACAATTATTTAGCAGTCATGGAAAAATTTGCATCATTGAATTCAAATGGCTCATTTGACAAATTTTCAAATCAAAATTGGAAGACTGGTTGGGGATATCTGGAAGAACAACTTCTCTCGTTCTGGTAGATTTATTTGTCAGATCACAGGTCAAGTACCAGCGCTGCGTTTGCAAAGGCAGTGAGCCGCCCTGTCGGCCCGCAGGCCGGAGGAACAACTACCTAACATCAGGAAGTTACGTTTTCTACTCGTTGTTAGATACAGAAGAAAAGATTTCTATTGGCCCTAAACTATCGTCGAGGAGGAGCAGGTCCTCCTCCTGCGACACTAGATCCAATCACATGCAATGTGTGGTCTCCTAACATCCCTGTGAACATAACGCACACAGCGTGAGGCTTGTGTGGTGCTTGGTGTGTCTCCAACTCTCATCCTTATCAGAGCCGTGTCTGCCCGGTCGGCACTTTCTGCTCCGTTTCCCCGTACCAGAGGCAACACAACAGCCTACCGAGAGCATTTAAAACACATTTCAACACTGTTGTGTTAGTATGCTAAACTGTTTTTGTATGTGTGTCCGCTGCAGGGGGGGAGGGAGGGTTCATATATGTCCCGATACAACAGTCTCAAATAGGACTGACTTGTCCAGTGTTGGTTGTTCGCTGTTTGGGGAACAGACCGTAAGTGGGAGATGGTGGTGTGTGACACTTGAGCCGCATGGGGGCCCTCACACCTCCAGTTGTTCTAGTAAAGCGACTGAGCAGAAAAATAAAAACTACAGTTTCTTAAGTACAAATAGGCTAACTATATATTTTTTTCTTGTGTGTTATATTATGTCTTTCTCTCTGTACCGCTTGTTATTGTGTTGTCCTGGTTTTGACCTGCCAAGGGACGGCAGATGCAAATTGGCTGAAGCTATAATCCGGTGCAGTGGACCAAATGGTGACATTAATGTTTTAACTGCTCATGGTCCCTTTTAAACAAAATCAATAAATACATTAAAATAAGAGATTAAGATACAATTTTCTCTCTCTCATGCGGCCTATGGACAACGTGATCTCCGTCCACCTGGCTCCACCTAGTGGCCAGAAGACAGAAGACTACATCCACAGAAACAAATATATACACATATATTATGCTAACTCGTGCTTCTAAAATAGAAATATTGAGAATCCTCTTTGGAAACATAGGTATTCGCCAACGGGACAGCTTCAAATGCGTCTAAAACTGAGCAAGTCCAAGTGCTGTTAGATTCTCTTGACTTTCCTTTTGAGTACTTATCCAAATGTGTACATGTTTTTTAGTGATGTCTGTGTGTGTGTGTGTGCAGCGCTGTATTGCAGATCTGAACAATCGCGTGCCCTCCTGCTTTTGACACGGGTCAGCCTCCGGATGTGACACCCAGTCAAACGCTGTCACTCTGCAGTGCGCCGCAGGGTGACCTCCTCACCGATGTCTCAGCAGCAGCCCGGCCCGTCATCCATGTGGCGTCTCCCGTCTCTCGTCCTCACGCAGCTCCTCTGCTGTGATCCTCCGCCTGCTCCCGTCTGACACAACGGCTTCCCTCCTTCTCAGTCAACAGAGAAGCACTCCATAAGTCACACTTGTTCTTCTGGGGAACACACACATTGAGACATCTACGATCAAACGAGTACAGTTGTATTTATTACTTTTTTCTTTATTTTCTATCCTTTATATTTCTAGAACCTTTAACTAGCTTCATTGTTAAAAGATAACAAGACACATTCCCATGTCTCGGGCATCGGAGCGCTATAATGCAGGAGGAGCCTGATGAGATGAACGGGCTTCGGTGTCTGAAAGAGAACCAGGAGGAGGAGCTCGGTGTGATTGTTAACTGACTGAGCGCCCAGCGTTGACATGGAAATAATGGAGGGCTTAGTTGTTTTTCTCTTATACAAAACTATGCAAATTCACCCCTCCCTCATCGGTAAAGTAGAAGGAGTTTTGTGTGTGTCTGTAATATAAAAGGTAAATAATAAATGGTAATAAATCAATGTTTTCTAATCCAAACACTCGCCTTCCCAACGTGTGTTTGTGCATCTTTAAATATGTTCACATGGCGTTTATCGTTTCTATGGCAGCCATATTTTGCTCACGTGTAACTCTTTATAGACCTGTGACATAGTCACTTGCAGCTGTAGTTTCTTGCTTTATGAGACTGGACAGTGTGTGTGTGTGTGTGTGTGTGTGTGTGTGTGTGTGTGTGTGCGTGTGTTCTTGCGTTCTCGTCACCTTCTCTCAGGGTTACGTCTGCACCCTCGTGCTCCTCAATCAGCTCTAATGGATCCTCTGGCTCGGACTCAGCCGGGCAATGATCGTGATACTAAAGACACTGAAACACACACACGCACACACACACAACAGGGCGGGGCTGGATGTGCGTCGTGATGAGCTAAGAGGCACGACGACCCTCGGAACATTTTCTCCCTGTCTTTGTCCTTTGTTTTTCTCTCTTTCTCTTTGCCATTGCAGCCCCTTAAATGCTGCACCTCCTGCAGTCTATTACATGTGTACATGCTAATCTACAATTAACTCATGTCCATTTAAACAAACGCTGCAAGGTGGCCTTTATATAAAAAACAATCCTTAAATTCTTTCTTGACAAAACTCTTAAGGCTATATTTGTTAACTGTCTCTGTGTCTTTGTGTCGTCCACCCCCCCCCCCTCCCCCCAACCATCACCACCAACCAGGCCCCTGTGTGTTCATGTCAATAGTTCACATGGGTCCCACCCTCCTCCCTCCACTCAGCGGCTTCATTCGGAGGGTGAGCGGCTCCCCCGGGGCCAATGTATGCTTTTATATGTGTGTGTGTGTGTGTGTGTGTGTGACCGCTGCTACATTATTCTCCCCACTGACTCTGTATGGGATGAAAAAAAGGCCGGAAATCCAGTATGTCTCTTCCTTGCTATCTTTAGAAAAAAAACGGTGCTGAAGGGGAGCATGTTGTGTGGGAGGGCTGCCCTCGCATGGGAATATGTAGGACAAACTGTACTGGTGGTTACATTTCTACTTCTTTTCTTGGCTCACAACAGACTTTCCACAACTCTCCTGAATGTGTCTATGAAATCTCCAATAACGCACAAACTGAAAACAATTAATCATATTGATTTTTACATCAGCCAGTATATTTATCTATTTTGTTCACATTTTATATGTTAATGAAATAATTTCAATTATGAAATTGTTCTTATCCTTTTTAAAAATAGCAATGATAGAGAGTGTTAAAATGCATGTAAAAATAGGTATTTCAGATAATACAGGGTAAGAAATATTTGTATTTATTTAAAGAATATTGCTGGAAAAATGTGTCTTGTTTGCATCACAAAATCCTACAATTTTATTGTGATTAAAATGTAACTGTATCAGTTTACTTTTTAAAAAGTTTTTAGATTTCGTCAAAATCTAAATCCTTGAAATCTAAATCTTCTATTGCAAGTTTGGAAATGCTATTTAACAATGTTCTCTTTACTTACGAAACATTCACAGTAATAAACTCTGAAACATTTTGACAGTAATCAAAAAGCAAGAAATGGCATTTCATTTTATTTTCCACTGACAACATCTGAAATGTGGGTAATAAAACAAGGAGAAGCCCTCACGTGTCATTGGTGCAGTGATTTGGACCAAACATGTGATTTAGCACAGCACTTTGTATTTGAAGCTAATCATTTGTCCTTGTGTTGCAGAAGTTTGCAGATTGAAGAAGTTTGCAGATTGAAACACGTTTTTTAATATTGCCAATGCACTCAGATTTTCTCATTTCTTCCCCTTTCCTTCACAATCTCTGCATCGCTGCTGCTCCATACGTGCAGGTCCATCGCAGATATTAGATTCCCATCGATTGACTGCAGCTGACGGCTCTGCATCACTAAAAATCTCCTCTCGGAGGATCTGACTGTTTGACTGCCAGCTCAAATTCTGCATCAGGGAGGCAGTTTCCTGGCTGTGCCGGGTTGGGAATCAGTCTGATTGTAGAGGAGTCTTCTCACTGCTGCGGTTCTACCTGCAGTCGGCCCGAGAGGAACAAGGCTGCTTCTATAATTAGGTTCTCCAGGCTGATTCGTTTAGAGCGCCCGCTACGCTCATTTCGCTGAAGATGCTCCTCAGCTGCTCAGCGGGACTAATGGAGGAGATGAAGAGATATGTGGGAAACAATTAGAAACCATATTGTGTTTATTATGTCACGCGTCCCTACGTGTGTATTCAGAAAGGCGCCGTTTGTTGCCAGTAAGTAGAAACCTGTTTTCCCTAAACATTAATGTTTACACGCCACACACAATGCTTATCCTTCTCAGACGAAAGCTCCTCTTTTTCCTCTCCATCCATCGCCCTCTTCTGATGTTTCAATTAGCTGCCCAGCAATTGGTTTACAGGAGACATTACTTTAGAGGACGTAAATGGTGTCCTGACACAGATGAAGCATGAGCTGCCTTGTGTCTGTACAAGAGACGTCTAATTCAGAAACCCCGTCTCATGCTCGGCATCGTGCTCAAATCACAGCATTTAAATTACCCGTTGCTGTGCTTTGCGCTAATAAATTCAAAATGTGATTTCTTAATATTACCTCACTTGGATGTTTGACCTTCACCTCGCAGATTCATTGCCGTATCGATCTGCAGTTAAAATATTAAGCAGATAATCCGATGCTGTCAGTGTTCTTCACAATGAGAAATCCAGCCTGCGTTTCAGCGTTTTTCACACTGGAGTCGTTGTGACAAGATGCTGTTTGGGAGCAAAGGCCGTTTTGCCGCTCCTGTCAGATAGAAGCTCTCTGACGTTGGAGGCGGTGCGGCATTCAATTAAAGTTTTTTTCTTATTTTGCAGAGACAGATTTAAAATAGATGAAGAAGAAGCATTTGAAAAATTTAGATTTTTATTTACCGGTATAAACCAAGCTCCAAATAAATCCTATGCATGTCAGTAGTGTCCGTCACTTCCCTGCCAGGTACAAATCTAGAGTGCTGATCTTCAAATTTAAACTTGGTGAAGGGCCCCTTTAAACCCATAAATGCAACATGGGTTCCCATTTACTCACCTTTTCTACCAGGATGTCAACCCTTAAATAAATCCAAAATGTACGTTGCTGACTCCACTTTGCATTGGATGTTATAATGTTGTTGATTTATTTAGAGCACAAATACTATCAGTGCTGAGGCTGAGCACAAATAGGTCTAATTCCAAGCGTTTTAAAAGTTAAATAAATAAAATTCAATAACATTTCCAGGCAGCGGTGCGATACCTGGACAGCCTCCTGGCTTTGAGTCCTTTCTCTAAAGTTATGTCTGACTCCAGATAAAAGATGTCTATCTGAATGCACCGTCTGCTCTCCGTAATCTCATCTTCTCATGTCCCACCTTGAGGGAAAGTGCTCGAGTGAGGCCTCGGTTTGCGGTCTCTCTTTTATCTCCCGAGGTTTGGCTGGGAGAATAAGCCAGACAGCTGTAGCAGATAAAAGGAAGGTAGTAAAGTAAAAACGCTTTACATTTTGAAACACGTTGTGTGGGAATCGGGCCTGAGCTCGAAGTAGCTTCCTCCAGACCAAGACAGAAGCTAATGCAGCACAATAAGGCCGTTCAACTCTCCCTTTCGCTTTAACAAATGGAGCTGCTAGAGTCAGCGATCTCACTGTCTGCTAGAAATAAAGTTAAATAAACGTTTCATTAAAGAGAAATCAACTGGAGACGAGATCAAAAGCAGGACAAACATTTTCCCGCGTATAACATCAGTGACTCCTGGAAAGACATCAGCCTCTAAAGATATCCAGCAGGAATGAAGCTGTTTTGGTTCACATCCAAATGAACCGAAGAAGGAAGCCCAAACCCTCCCCCAACGCTCTCCTCCTCGCCCGCCAAGCCTTTAATAAATGGATTGTCTCTCGGACAAGCGTCAGTTTTCCTTCATAATTGTTAATTATCATGAGTGCTCTCTGAGGCACTTTCTATGAATGTAGATGGGACCCCCCCACCCCCCTCGTTTTTTATGTGATCGGCCTTAGTTCTCAAGGACGTTGAAAAGGACGCTGGCGATGGGGGGGGGGTTGTCCAGGGGATGGGTGGGGCTCCTGCGTCATTCCTGCGCATCAGTCGGCGGGTTTTACGGCAACGGGCCCCAGGAACCCACCCCCCCCCCCCCTCAATCCCCCCTCTTACCCCCTCCAGGGTCCATCTCCCCCAACTGACCACCGGCAGCCACACCCACCCGTGGGTGGCTCCTCCCCGAGTCCCACATGAGAGAAGAGAGTACAGCACTTAAGGTAATGTAAATAACCAGTGAGCGGGAGCTATTTTAAGACGCTGTCTTTCACTGTGGCGGCGGAGGGGGACAAAGATGCAAGCCGAGCCATTGTCATTTCAGTCACGTTTGGGGACATGTTCTCTTGCTCGTCCAGCATCCAGCTAGCTGAAGGGCCCGACAGACAAACAAAGAGCTCGGAAGAGTCTTCATTCTGAGGAGAGATGCTTTTTGAATTTCATTTTAGAGTAAGAGAAGCACTGAAGCCTGAGAACCACGATTAAGCTTAAGACAAATAGATGAATAATAAAGGGTTGCTGTAAAAGATATTTCTGATACACAAAAGTGTTACTTTCATGACTTTCTGACCTCTTAGGGCCTCTAAAAGTTATTGGTGCGTTCAGCCTCATCTCTAATTAAGAAAAATAAAATGAATTGAATTGCAATATTCTCAATGTGTATTCTTTTTTAGTCAAGAAACAAAAAATGTGAAACACCAATTATATCTTGTTCCAAAAGTAGAATTTATATATATTTTCTGAAATAATGTTTTTTTTCTAATATTGTGTCTCTCATAACATCAAAAATAAATAAACATTTAGTCAACCTCTTTTTTCCCCTTATTCGAATCCTTTTAACCAGTATGATTTGTTTTCTTTGTCTATACATTTTTTTTCTCCTTAATTATGCAAACACACATGACAAAGAGGAGTATCTGCTGTTGACAACAAATAAAAGCACACATCTGTGAAGCAGAACCTGCCTCCACATTGTTCTGCAACAGTTACCTTTTGACTTTGCAAAATCACAAACAAAAACAGCAACACAAATACCAGTAGAAGTACACAACTATATAGTTAGACATTTTTCTAGAGATTACATTCATATTCAAGTCTTTGTCTGACCAGAGTCAAGTCACAACTGTGGAAATAAAACTGTTTCATGAGTTTCATTAAGGCAGTTGAATAAAAGATTATTTAAAACACTAATTTACACAGATTCCTATGATTAAAACCTCTGACATTAAAGAGAATGTTGAAGTCAACTACGGTTACTATTGCTTGTATTTTTTCTACTCAGGACAAAACATGGATTGCATCCTTTTTGATTCACACAGTCATGATATGTTTACAGTAATAATGAAGAGACGTCATTGCCATTTAAATGTGTCAAACTAAGTTTGGTTTTGGGTGTTGGTTAATACGTCGGATGTGTTTCACGTCATGACATTGTCGGTTTAACGTGTCACTTAATTCATGAATAACATTTTTTTTCAGTTCAACACACGTTACTTACATACAACATACATGTGTTGGCTTGTTTGGACATAGTAGAGTTATACAAAATCCTGTGTTCTATCATTTTTGGATCTATATTTATTTAACTTTCTCTCACAATCAGATATATAATAATTGCTATATACTTGTTAAAGTGTGTGTGTGTGTGTTATTGCTTTTATCTAATTAGTACATGACATGATTGCAAAGTCCGTGGCTTCCTATCAACTACTTGCAATTAGTTCATTCCTTGTCACATTTCTGATGAAACATTTCACCACTAGTCAGCAATGGAAATTCTGTGGAACATCTCTTGTCTCAAGTCATCTGTAGTTTGATGCTTTAGTGGTATAAAATCAAATCCATCACATTAAAACCGTCTTCTTAAGTATAACTCCAAAGCGGTTAAAAAAAAGGATGAGTATGCATTACACCGACCTATATATATAATATCTATCTGAGCGAATGGTTGATGCACAGAAAGAGAGAGTCATGTCCAGACAATCAGCAAGCTGCTAAACTATGTATCCTGTCATGTGGCCGTTATCCAATCAGCACGAGCTGGATGTGTTTTCTTTTGTAGTCCCAACGAAGGACGTTTGCGTCTGCTCTCATACTTCTTTCAGGAGAATTGGACAGTAATGTAACTGCTTCTCCGACAGTTCCCTCGTCATGTTCAGTTTCATTTTCTTTTAAAAGTTGTTCACTCCTCACCATGGTGGGAGGAATCAGAGCTGGACTCCTCCTCCTCCACCACCATTTCCTTCGGCAGCGTGTCGCGGCGCGCGAAAGCGGCCGCCAAGGTCACGCTGAGCCGCGGTTTGACGGGGGCCATCTCCGACAGCCCGATGTTGTTTCCGCGAGTCACGAGCGTCGTCTTATCCATAATCTCGCCGCTGTGCTTTGACACCACCGCGTCGAGGAAGTCGTACTTGTGTGAAATCTTGCCGCTCTCAAACAGATACTTTGCCAGGTGGGAGACGGCGACGTTGCCCAGGAAGGAGGCGATCATGGAGATGGTCTTGAAGGGGAACTTCTGGATGACGACGTCCTCCATTTCTCCGGTTACGTGATGCTTCCTCTGCTCAACGGTCCAGCCGGGGTAATAAATGAAAGGAGGCATCCCGAGGTAAGGCTCACCTCCACCTATACGCAGCACCATGCCGAACAGGTAGGCGGCCACGGAGCCGTACGTGTTGGTGCCTTTGACGAAGAGCACGCTGATCAGCTGTGGGAAGATGATGACGTAAACCAGGTCGGAGCTCAGGTACCAGAGGCCGTAAACGGTCCCGGTCACCAGCGCCATCAACGTGGCAAGGCCGCCGAATACAAAGATGGTAATACGCATGACCCACACGATCTCACGGTCAGACGCCTGAGGACGTAGAGAGACGAGAGGGGACGCCATGGTGACGTGAGCCCGAGGAGCCACATAAAACAAACAGACATGTATTAAAGTTGTACTCACAGACTGTCTAAAGGCGAGCTGGTAGATGTTCCTCGCAAACATGGAGCTGGCTGACAGGATGGAGGAGTCTGCAGATGACATGACGGCCGCAGACACGGCGCCCAGCCCGAAGAAAGAGACGAACGGAGGGCAAAGGTGTTGGAGCACGATGGGGAGAATCATATCCGCTTGATCCTTATCTTTGGGAGGAATAGCCCCATAACTCGTCTGGTTCCAATCTGAGTAAGGAAAATGATGAATGACACTTCCAACATGGCTAGTAGACTTGAACTGCATTACATGAAATAATAAAAAAAAACATGTGGCCTTCAGAGAAACCCAATATTCCCAAATTCCTCTGAAATGGAGGTAATTTGCTATTAACCATTCATAACACTGACTATATTCTTAACATGTGAGCCAAAGAAAAATATGATACCACTGTAACATTTCTTTAGATTTTAGGCTCATTAAAGTAACGATAACGGGAATGAGAACGGCTGAATTTGAAATACCATTTGTATTGTTGTAATTTTGTCCCAGCAGCCGATGGTTATTATTTTCATGCTAAAACACGACGAAACAAAGTTGTGTTTTCCGATGTTCACAGAGGAATCTGACACCTGAAAATGTGGAGATCAAACCTCTAATTCGGTCCCTTGCCTCCTTCTAATGTAATATTTACACAGCCAGCGTGGTTATTAAACGAGTCGCTGCTTCATTATGGATGAGCTGAACCAGCTGCTATTTACCAGGCTCTCTCTTGATCTAAGGGCAACACGGACCCATCCGGAGCCTTCCCTCACTAAACAAACACCCACACAAAGTCAGCGTCAGCCCTCTAACCTGTGGAGGCCCCGATGGCCCCGATGAGAACGGAGGGCACAGCCATGACGAGGCACCCGAAAGCAGCCAGGAAGGAGAGGACCTGGGCGTAGTTTGCCGAGGAGGCAGACAGCACTCTCTGGAAATACACTTGCCAGGGAATTCCTCCAAGCATCTGCAGCACGTGTGAAGAACGGTGAATAACACTCGCTTGAATAAGGACCAACTTTAGAGAGTGGTTCTACAAAAAAGATGTAATGAGAGTGCGTGGAACACGTTCACGTGAGGTGACTCGATGACAAGCAGTAGTGTTTTTCTAACTGATATTGCCTCATCAACGAAGTCACTCTTAGACCTTTCGACCTGGTCTCGGACACAGTGGACTACACTCTGATGAAGTAAGGGGTGATTAACGTGTGGGGACCGTACCAGGAGGCAGAAGTTATCGATCCACACCCAGGTGTCGCCTTTGTGGATGCTGCCTCTCCAGGGCGACTGGTACACCTGCTTCACTGCAGTAATGGTGATGTCTGACACCGCAGGGTTGGTCAACGCAAACGGGACGCTGATCCACTGAAAACATCCGGAAAAACAAGTTGCAACAGTTACAAAAAAACAACAAAAAACTATAGTTTTGTTACGATAAATGTTATGCACGTGCCAAAAATAAGGGGTTGCAGTGTCATTTTATGCCAGTTAGTTGCCTTGGAGCAGCAATCGTGACTATTTTCTTACGACAGAGTGATTTGTCAAGACAAAGTCAAAGTATGTTTATTTAGTGCAACAAATACAGTGAATCTACTTAAGAGGGTAATTCAATTACAGCAGCTATAATCTATACCTAAATTTGGGGTAAATATGAACCTACCAGGCCAAGAAAGATGCAGAAGAGCTGCACGACATCGGTGTAGGCCACCGAGTAAAGTCCTCCAACCAAGGTGTAAAATATCGCAATGAGCGCTGAGATAACCACGGACATCTTAATGTTGATGTCCACGATGACACTCAGAGTAGCACCTACAGATGCATGTGGATAAAACCTCACTTTAATCTTAATGGCCCACCGAATCATTTATTTCCCTTGTAGATGGGCACATGAACTCACCGAGGGCGGATAAGATGGCCGCCGACCAGAAGATCTCTCCCATGAGTGCAGGTATGAAGAGGAGGCCACCCATGCGTTTCCCGTAGATCTGCTGGAACGGGTCCAACATGGTGACGTAACCTCGTGAGCGCATGGGCTTGGCAAAAAATAGACCCCCTGGGCCAAGAGCAGACACATTCAATTAAGGCTCCTTCAAGTGTATCTTTAAATGGTTTGATTCGGCACTGTTTTTGAAAGGGCTTTTATTCATGTTAAATTATATATGTTAAACAACAGCTTAAGACTCAACAAGGAGGTAAAGTTCATAAAGATGAACCAACAACATGGTTTGATGAGCACCCAAAACTACCATTTCAATCAGGTATATAGTCTGTAATTTCACTGTTAATATGTTGGCATAAAACTGTATTTTAAACCACTCACCCACAACAAGACTGAGTGCATATCCAAAGGGAGCTTGAGCCCAAGCCAAACCGTACGCAGGCAGATACACATACTCAGCTGTACCATTTATATATCCTCCTCCAACCCACGTCGCTGAAAATCACACACATAGACACAACATCACTTTAGATTAAAAATAAATTATTTAATGATCGCATCTATTTTGGCATTTTTAACAGACAATCTTGAGATGGTTTTAAAAAATATTGCTGTAAAAAAAAGAGAAATACTGACACACACATTATACAATAAAAAATGGAATCATCTAACTTGAGAATATTCAACTTCTCAAAAAGAAACCCAAGTGATCATTTTTGTATTTTAAACGCTATTAGCTAGTAAAACAACTATTATTGAATAATAAAGACAAATTTCACCTGTCATGGTAAATCCACCAACAAATAATCCAATGTCCCTCCCACCGACCATGATGGTTTCGCTGCGGTCGGTGCCCTCCGCCTCCCCGGAGTGTTTGTTTTTCCATGCCGCCCAGATGCCCACGCACAGGATCAGTAGATAGAAGATCGCGATAGCCACAAGCCCCTCTATGTGGATGGTCATTGTCGCAGCGGACTTCCACTAGGGACGGGAGGGCATGGAGACCTGCTGGGCGCACGGAGGAGCGAGGATCAGCTGCATGAGTATATAAAAACAACCGTTTGGCATTTCGTTTTTGGCAACATCTGGACTTTTTTTTGGTTCTTGTGAAATAGACAGTAAGTTTTCATGAGGTTTTACTTGCATTGCGGGGTCAACTGAATAAAAACACTACTTGTTGAAACAGAATATAAGAGTAAGCACAATTCCCTCTTAGATTTCACGCGGTCTTTTCCAGAAATTTGACTTTCGACACAGTTAAGGTCATTTGTGATGCTCGTCATTTACATCATCACAATAAGTAAATTGATGAAAATGTCGCTTAAAGACACCCGGAGGATCGTTTTTAGTCGTTTTTGATTCCATCAGACAGACTCAAATAAAGTGTCCTTTAAATTTCTAATACATATCCTATCATTCGAAAAATAACTATCAAACAAATCTGCGAAAAATCTAGTAAATAATTAAAACATTTCCTCTTCTTCTCCATCTTCTTCCATCCTGTGACCGCATGTGTCCGCGTAAAATTCAAATTACGCACAGCATTCGCTACAATTATTTCAACCAAGCCAAGTTCGGGACAACCTTGGAGAAATTATATTGTAGATAACGAACTGTGATCTGAACATCTCCACTTTGGTCATTCTCAAATTAATACGAAATTATTATTTTTTTCAATATCAATTGATCTGCAGTTTACGAAAGCTTGAAAAAGCGCATGCAATACTTACCAAAAGTGTCTCTCGGGTCATGTGCCGGGACACCCGAGGAGGAAAACTGCTTTAGATGAATCGGTGGTGAAGGTCTCCCCGGTGACTTACTGAGGCTTATAAGGGGGCAGGTGCCGTTGGAGGACTCATGCACACGTCAGAGAAACCAAGCGTCCCTCTTAATGAGCACCTTGCAATAGAACCACGTCACAGTGCACTGGCCGAGATGAGTACAGACTCCTTTGCGCAATCTTTTTTTTTTAAACCAATCGCCGAATAGCAAGATATGCGTTTTAACGCAGCTTTTTAAAACAATTGTGTGGCTGAGGGGATGGAGTAAATTGTGTATATGCGTGACGTGGATCGCACTCAGCACGCAGCTCTGTGCGTAACAGGCACTTAATTTCGCAGCCATACTTCATGTGGCCTTTTATCCGCTGTCACTCGCGCCTCAGCCGGCATTTTACCTTACAACCGCAATTAACTTTGCTCTAGGAGCGCCATCTTTCATCCTTGGAAGATGTGAAACCACCATGAAGCCTTCTTTGTTTTACACGGGAGACAACTATGGAGCAGTATATGTAAAATACTTACTTAGATGTAATAATCATCAAGTGAATTTACAGCGAAACAACCTAATCGAAGCTTGGTCATTTTGCTGCGGAAGCAGCCCAACCTTCCTCTTGATTTTGGGCCTATGTGGAAGCAGTCGTCCAGCCTAAAGACGCTACCCACCTTGAAGCAATTAGAATCAATTAAATGTACTTTTCTCGCCACTTTCACTTCAGAGTACATCCCTGAACTGTGTCTACTTAATGGCAAGCTCTGCCTTGGCTCATTTAATTTGGCTGCTCTTGTCAAAACTGACAGACATCCAATTAGGATGGATTCCGAAGAGCAGTGGTAGAGATTTAATGATACAGTGAGTCTCACTTAAAAGACGTGTGTGTGCGCGCGCGCGCGCGCACACACACACACGCGCGCGCGCGCACACACACACACACACACACACACACGTGTACAACAGACACGTGCTGACTGAGGTGTTTGCTCATAAAGAGAAAGAGTGACAAAATGTATTTTATCTGCTAGTTCCACACAGTTCCCCAGATTCAGCACCATGGACAGAAGCTTAAATAAGCCTCAGGTTTACATTATTAGAAATCATTTGAATTGATCTTAACTGCATTAATTGATGAGACTGCATCAGCTGTACGTCATTCTTTATTTCTATATTAATTTGTGTAATTATACAATTCCCCTGTGTCTGCCGATCATTTCACAAATTGATGAAATTTTACAATGAAAACATATTAAATCGGCTTGAAAGGCTCAACAGCTGTATATTCTTTTATGTGGTCTGATTCCCATTCAAACTAAAGCAATAAAGTACCAAATAACCACAGTTACGTTTTTAAAAACTTTTGACTGGAGTGTGGAGTTTTGCTCAACATCTGACAAGTGATTCTGTGTGATACTGATGCCAAAATCCCAAACTTCCGGAAGACAGCTGGGAGGGTTTCTAACGGCATGTTTGACAGATGGCTGCCACATGAACTTGACACTCCACGTTTGCTCAATGATGCTAAATACATACACAAAAACATAATATGAAATGACACAAAATGTACAACAGCTAACAATCTGCCGCAGAGAATTATACCAGACATTCTTTGATAAAACTTGTAGAAATTGATGTTTATGTTTAAGCAAATAAATTCTTCTGTGCTCAAAGGGCTCGAGGTTTAATGAGCAGCTGTTACTGGCAGCACTCAAGATGTTAGTAAGAGAGCACCAGAGAGACTCAGGGAGAGATAACACGGCCAACATATAAAGCCCCCAAAGTGACATCAGGAAACAATTTTCATTCTCCACAGCGTTTATTCTATAAAAAATAAACACATACAATGTAATAAACAAACCACACAAGCTCATTTGATAAGAACAATCTACAACGTCTTTGGTGCTAAAGTGAACTTGTGCTCAAAGGGTCCAAATGTTTTAAAATAGATGTCTGGAGGATATGAAACGTCAGCTGAAGGAGCCGTCTTCTTGTTTAGAACGTAGTGAGGGAGGGGACAGAGCGGTATGAAACTTATATCATTAACCTTCACTCGGGAATTTAGAAATATATTCAAAAGCAATGTTTTTTCCTGAAAGCCACCAGGAGAAGAATTGGGATATTTTGGCGCTTGGCGTCCCCCAGTGGTCGTCTAAACAGAGTCACTGACATGTGTGAGTGCCGTTTGCAGTTTCTGCAATTTGTGATATTAAAAGTCAGGTTTACAGATGATCCATGAACACAGTACTATACAGTATATCAACTATTATCTTAGATACATGTATTAACATAACACATTTGTGTCAGTTGTTGCTCCCCTTTGCTGTACACAAGCTGATGTGTACAGAAATGTATTTTTAATGCAAGCTTTTAGTGAGAGACCAAAGAGGAAGATCAAAGGCTTGCCTTAAAAACCCGGTGCACAGTGGGCCAATGATGTTATTCTTTTTTATTGCCTGAATTTGGATCACTGAAGAAAAGAGTAAATGGAATGACGCAGTTTGTTAGATTACCTTTGTTTTTGTTTGAGCACTGAAATAAGGCGAAGATAGGAACACAGGTTAAATAGATTTGCAAAGACAAGTTTTGTTTTTTAAGCAAACAAATTAACTTGATGTTCACTTTAATACAATAAAGCTAAGCAACAAGTTACAATATGTATTGTATGTATCAATGAAACATGAGCAGAGACCTATGAGGTATTAGCCCCAGTAAACATATGATGGATCTTATTTTAAATGTGACAATATTCAAGCTTGAAAAGGCAATGTGCGCTTCAACATATTTTGATATTTTCAAAAAGCTGGGAAAACAATGTTGCTTCGTCATTGTGAACTGTTCAATCCAAACACAAACAATAAAGTACCTACAAAGCCCCTGAGAGACAAAAGAAAAAAATTATAATTTGGCATATTTCAGAAGTAGAAACAATTTTAAAGGAACTTTCTTCGGTGTTGTTGTATTAGCCCATTCCATACACATTGACCCGTAACTTATTACACAATGTTTTTTAGAATTATATGTGATGCATGGAGGCTTAACACAGGCAGAGACCGTCCCTTGCTCTTAAGCTGTGGTCATGAATTTGCGGTTGAGCATTGATCCCCTGCTGTGTGTGTTGTGCAGTGGAAACAAACATAATCGCAGCAGACGAGGCTGCACGTACTGTATCTAACATTGGTAACAGTGAGTGGACACTAGTATAATGCGTTGTCTGAATGAATCAGCTATTAGAAATGTTTTCTCTCCAGGGAAGCTGGCATATGCCATTTGTCAGACAAAGGACAGTTGAGGGGAAACTAAACTTAACACCCAATGATATGTCTTTTCTAAAAGACACTCAGAGTCCCTCTCCCTAAAATGAAGACAAAAACGATAACAACAATGTACTTAAATAAAGCAACAATATAGTTCATCCTGTTTCCTGTGATCTGGTTCAACAAAAACATTGAGAAATATAAAAGGGTAAATATCATTTAGTTTTAACATCTTTAACATCAGCTGTATGTTACTATTGGTACCGGGAGAAACAAATCATTTATTCACTTTTCCACCTGCAAGCGGAACAATCTAAATACGCTATAAACATTACTATCCCATGGTACCTCTAAAAAACACGTCCACTCGTCTTTCATAAAAGATCTCCATGGATGTTGCTTCTTCCGGCGCGTCCATCATCATGCCCTCACGTTCTCATTGTTTTGATTTGATCTGGAAAATGTGAGAAATGCTGTTAATAACTTGAATATTGAGCGCATTCATTAAACTGTAATAATGTGAAAGTGAATGATTTGGGCCATAATAGTCCTGTCGTGTAAATCTGATATTGTCTCAGCCCAAGTACTGTTCAGAATAATCTTTTGGCTACTTCAACACAAAAACTGCAGCTATACAATGAGACAAGAAATAATGAAACTGCTATAAAACACAGTATTTACTGCATAATTTGATCTATGGAAGGATTTCATTGTTAAACGTAGTAAAAAGAAAAGACGGTGATGTGACGCCGTTAAACAGAATACACTCTGTTTCTATTATTCAGTCAGATAAACATTAAAACAAAAACATATGAGTCATTGAATTGTTGAGTAAAAACATTTTTTAATGACATACTTTTAGGATTAACTGGTATTGTATTGCTTGAATTGAGGACGAAAAATATTCAATTGTAATGGAAACCCAAAGAAATTTGAATCCAAGAAATGTCATCCAAGATCAAACCAAAAGGATAATTGATATTAATGTACAAATTGTATAAATACAACAATATAAATCAATTGTAGGTCTTGAAAATGATCTGTAAGGTGTTGCTAATCAACAGTGGCCATGCCAGCACATGGTGGCACATTTTAAATGTAAACAAAGTAAAAGTTAGTAGTGCAGTGTGTCTATTATCCATATGTGTTTTTTAATATAACGGTATATAATGAAGTAAACTGATTTTATACAAGTGTTCTATACACGGTCATGGCCATCCCCCCTTTCCTTCATTTGAACTCTCATCATACCTTGTAACCAGTCCACTCCCTCCTGTAAACCTTCTCCTTTCAGAGCATCGGTGGCACTGAAACAACACATCATGTTTTAGGAAAAGATTAACATTCTGGCAAACTATAATGGTAATAACTGTGCTTGAATGTTCATACCAGATGTGCCAGGGTTTGTCTTTAATGTTCTCCAAACAGAGCAGCTGCGACACCTTGACAGACGACAGAGCATCCCTGACATCCATCTTGTTAGCAAAGAACAGGATGGGGATCCTCCTGTGCTTCACGTCTGTAGCGAGAGTGCGAGGGGGAAGTTGGGAAAGTTAGTATAGTGAAGTAGTAAGTTCATTAAGTTCTGCTAATGAGAAACAATATTATGCAACCAAAACACATTTAAAAGAGGAATTTGGGAGGAAAAAAAAGTGTCTGCTCATTCACAAAAGGAGACACAACAGTAAGACACTTAACAGGACTGGGATTGAAAGCCAAGTTCAAGAATGATCTTAAATGTACATGAGCTTACCAGGGTGGTTTAGTAATGTGTCAAGTTCTTCTTTGGCTACTACCATCCTCAGTTTGTCTGCACTATCAATGACAAATATGATAGCCTGGCCTTCCCTGAGAAGTACAAAGAGATCACAGAAATGAATATGCATACTGTATCAAATGGCAAATAGTTGGTTTTGTAGCACTGGCAAACTCACTTGTAGTAGTGCTCCCAAAGGTTCCTGTATCTGCCTTGACCGGACATGTCAAACACTGTGAAAGAAAGACTACAGAAGTAGAAGAGAGAAAACTTTTGTATTGGGCGGGAGAAAACAAAGCATCACATATATAACAAAGATTTCTATCAATTTACTAAAGACAATAGTGTGTAACTATTAGAAGATGGCTTAACATTTCTGGAATTACGAGTTGTATTAAATTAAGTTGTTATGTTGACCAGCTACCTGGATGTCTTGAACTTCTCTATGCTGAAGCCAATGGTTGGGACGATGTCTTGCGCTTGAGCCTTGAGGAAGAATAACAAAGTGATATGTAGGCCGATATGGTGCAATGCTGTAGATACTAAAAAGAGACTAGCATGCAATATGGATGTGCACATATCACTGATTTGGCAAATACACAAATAGCACACGATTGAGAGTCAATCACATTTCTTTCACAAACTCACTCCAATGAAAATATTGGTCATATTTACATTTGCGGGTTTCAGCTGGTTGATGATCGTGGTTTTCCCACTGTTGTCCAAACCAAGACACAGCACATTCACTTCCTTTTTCAACCCCAGCCATCCGGCCAACTTGTCAAACAGCCCCATCAGCTGCCTGTCAGGTGTACACAACAAAAAGCCCATGAACTCGCTAAAAGCTGCACGCTGTTGTGTTCAAAAATGAAGAAACGCCGGACGGACAGAGGTCATCGCTGATCGAAAGGTTCAAATCAAATGTATTTAATAAAGGAGATGGCGTTGCGGTAAAAAGAACATCTCAGCTGAGGAGCCGCTGGTCTCAGCGACCAACAGGCCCCAGGTCAGTCCTTTGACCATCCCTAGTGCCCGTCTGCCGCCTCCACCAGTGAACTCGAGAACAATCGTTGCTACAGGTATTTATACCAATGCTTAAAAGGTGTGAAAGTCAGTGTCCACACCTCTGGGAGTGGTCTTCTGGTGAGTTCAATGTAGCTCGGATTTCGGATGAGCCTTAGTCAATATCAGTTGTTGTTTTACATGCATGCATTCCAGTTGATTACATTACATCAAATACAATCATAACTGTACATTGGTATTATTCTATTACAGTTGCAGATTTACAGTGGTTTTACAATATTGTCATTACTTTATGGATTACACAGTTTCAGAATCATGGCTGTATTCTGGTGTACACTATATGCATTTTTATTAATTTTATGAACCGGGTCGTATATTTGTTTCTAATATCCTACAACGCTCACAGAAGCCTTTGCGAAATTCAGTTGCGTATTGCGCATTGAACACAAGGAGTATGCACCTCGACACAGATATTAAAGCTGACTTCTTGCACTAACATTATTAGGTCAAAGATGTGTCTGCCTTTATCACCAGGTCAACCTGGTGTGCAGTTAGTGAAATGACTTGTTGTTCCTTCCCATTGCGAACTGTTGTTAACTTCAACTAACGTTTTGCCTGATCGGTATTATCGCGATGACTTGACCGTTATTTTGAGCTAACCGTTAGCTTAAGCTAACGTGTTTAGAGGACTCCGGGCAGCTTCTAACGTAATTAACATTCGCTAACAGCTATTTAACCAGTTAATCTCTTGCTCTTCCTGCTGCTAGCTAGCCTCGGCTAACGTGTAGCCACTGGGTTAACGTTAATTACTTTAGCTAACGTAAATGATCTACTAACGCTAGTAACTATTTCAAAATCCCTTTGCAGTATTGTATAACAAGCAAATCCAAAGACGAAACTGTATTAAGTAAGCAAACGCTTAATATGTTTGAAACCTAGTTAGCTTAACATTACAGTTAAAGCTAGCACGTTAGCTGTTAGCTTGCATTATCCTTCTCCAAACCGTCTTGTAGTGCAAAATTGTACCTGTTTTTTTAGCGATGATGTCTTGCTTTCAAGATTCACTTAACGCCCGCTTAAGCTCGCTCATTAAATGACCTGGGTCAAACCAGTGTTTGATTCATTTCTCTTCTAGTCCATCATGGTCTCAAGTCAACAGAGGCTACACTAGGTTATTTACACCGTGTTGCTGGGAGACCAGTGTGCCGGATCAAGTCTGCCACCTGGAGGCCAAACAAGATGGCGTCCTGCCCTAAGACGTTGCTGCTAAAAAAGTGGCGTTTATGAAAACACAGACTAAAAACGGAACCAGCTTATTGTAACAAAATAAATGGTACGCTTATGAGCTGTAAGTTTAAAATAATAATGTTCCTGGTGTTGGTTATAAGCAACCTTACTCTACTGTGGAGCCACCCCACTTTTATTGTGTAGCCTAGCCTACATTTTCCTTTTTTATTTAACAATTTTCTGTTTGTATTTTTTCATCCCTGCAAATAAATCTTTATAGTTTGAATGTCTTTCATGTATAACCTACCAGACACAACCGTTTGACAAACTCACCTGACTTCTTCATGTCCAGAAAACCTGTCAGTTTCTTAAAGAGACACTTAAAGAGGACGCGTGTGTGTTTGAGAGAGGGTGCTTCCATGGACATCTTTATATGTGTTTGTTAATGTGCTCAAGCAATCTGATCAAGGACAAAGTATTAAAATAGGGTTGTTTATTAAGGAACTTACTGAATAAAACATACAATTTTCACAAGACATTTTGTACAAGACATACTGCATTATCATGAGGATAGAACATATATTTCTATAAAATCTTTTGACATTCAGCGGTCTTCAGTTGAAAAAACATGATTGTATTTACCATTCTTTCAATCTTTATTCCTGGTGAACTGTTTCATTAACCGACTTGAAAGGTTGTTATTAAAATCGCACACTGTGCCATTCATCAGCATTTACCCTCCGTTCCATCCACTTCCTCTGCGGTCATGAGGTAACTGACTTGAGACCATTCAAAGTCAATAAAAACCATTGGATTGTCAATTGGAAAGAGAAGAGGTATCGGTGAACACTTGAATAGACACTACAGTAAAGAGGTTCCGAAATTCAAGTGAATGCTAACAGTTGCTGAGATAATAAAGAGAGGGTATTTGGCCAACACTGACAGAGGTTGGTTGTTGCGGAGGCTGTAGTGATGAGGATCCACAAGGTGATGAGCGTGTGTCTAGCAGCGGCCCTCTTTCACACGAGCAGCGTTTGGTTCCTGCTACACCTAAAAGTCTGGTGTTTGTCCGATTAATCGAATGGCGATGCCAAGGAAGTCTGGTGGGTTTTTCCGTCTCAGTTTGAAAACACATTCTGTCTTTGTGTGATGGTCTCATACTTGAAAGCCACTCTGTTGGATGTGGTGAAGCTGCAGGCGGAGGGACTGTATGCTGCTTAATATTCTCCTCTGGTGGCCAATCAAACAGATCCCGATACGCCTGATGTCACTAAAGTGAAGCAGAAGAAGAAGTTCAATTTTGAATGAATGTACAGCCCAGCTATTTTAAAATTATGACAAACATGCAATGAAGTTAACAATCTGCCACAAGCACACTGGGAAAACTTCATAATAGGAGCAATAAGCATATTCATGAGAAGAATATAATACTGTAATCCTGGTAGCAGCAGTTATAATATAGTTTTTATATATCCACATAATGTACAGATACTTTCTTGCTTGATTGTGGAATCACAAGTACCATTTCACAATCTACTCGCTTCCCTTCATGCCCGATTGCTTGTAGTGCTCTTCTTCATACTATAGCTGCACTTAGCATAATGTGGCTACACTCACTCTAAGCTCATTGTTGAAATGGAATCCAGGGTCGTGTAACCCGCTGCAAGGAAGTTGTTCTTGTACTGGCTCATTTTGATAGAGTCAAGCCAGTCGCCGATAGAGATGAAAAGAGGGTAGTCCGGCATGTCATCTGGGGAGTCGGGGTAACTGAGATGACAGACAGAAAGTTAACCAATACAAAGGCGTTCCTGCATCTCAATGTAACGTATTATTCTGGTTAACAGCCCAGTGATTAAATTTACAAACTGTGTAGAGCCTTTATTAGCACGTATCATTTTTCAGTGCATACATTTTCCAGCCTCAGAGGTTAGTAATTTAGATTTATGTATTTTGGCAACTAATTTTTCCGGTGTTATCGCCGTCCCACAATTAGAATATTTTCCAACATGTCTCTGCTCGCTTGATGTTTGTCCCCTGGGTTATATATTCTTATAGCACATGACGCTCATATCTCCTGAAGGCACCAACAAGTGTTTTTTGGTCTCATATTTGAACTGCACTAACAAGCAGGGATGACATGTATGCAAAATATTCACTCTGTGGCTTAAATGTGGCAAACAATTTTTAGATAATTATCATTCCCTCCTGAAACGGGAAGTCCCTGGAAGGTAGGCCGATAAAACAGTGCAGCTTTCTTAGATAATGTCATCCAGTTTACACTCTTATGGTCCGTTCGTTTCACCGGGTGGGTGTCTGCATGTATCGATAGTCACCTCTGTAGATCATTCACCAGAGTGAGCAGACTACTGGGATTGATTATGAGTTTGTCGAGGAACGAGAGCACGGTGTTGAAGCGTGGCCGCTGGTTGGACTCCTTCTGCCAGCAGTGCAACATCAGCTGGTGCAGAGTCACGGGGCAGCCCATCGGTGCTGGTAGACGGTAGCCTTCGTCAATTGATAAAATTACCTGAGATGAACATCAATGAGTTAAACACAATTTTTTTTTTTTTTGTGTTTCAATGAGGCCTACAGTGCTCAAGGAGCTTTAAAGGGATCGGTGGCTTACATCTTGATTGGACATCTCCCAGTAGGGCCTCTCACCGTATGACATCACTTCCCACATGACAATGCCGTAGCTCCATACATCACTGACTGAGGAAAATTTTCCATAAGCAATCGCCTCCGGTGCCGTCCAGCGTATTGGTATCTTTCCTCCCTGATGCAACATCGATAACCCAGATTAAAGCCACTGTAATACATGTCAGATTGTAATAGCCTGCTGCAAGATCCACACTCACCGTAGCAGTGTAGGCAGCTTCAGTGTCATCTTCAAGGACTCTGGACATGCCAAAATCAGACACCTTACACACCAAGTTCTCATCCACCAGGATGTTGCGAGCAGCTAGGTCTCTGTGTATGTAGCCCATGTCTGAGAGATAGGTCATTCCCACTGCGATGCCACGCATCATGCCAACCAGCTGGAGCACCGTAAACTGTCCGTCACGCGCCTGGAGAGGTAGTGAGGAAGAGAAAAGGGAGAGAGAGAGAGAGAGAGAGGGGGGGGGGGGACAAATGTGATGTTAGTGGGACAACATTTTCTAAACAGTTGCACATCTGAGAGCGTTTATTTCTCTCACCCGGAGGAAAGAGTCGAGCGCTCCGTTTTCCATGTACTCAACAACTATCATCACCGGTCTGCCTGAGGAAAGGGTTGGAAAGTATCTATCTTAATGTCAGATAGTTTAGACTACAGTAAAACTAACACTAAAGCACCTATGCAAAAAAACAAAAAAAACAATGACAACAAACACAGCCAGAGAGAGACACTAAAGAGAGCTTACTCCTCGTGACCACGCCCTCCAGCCTGATGATGTTGGGATTGTCAAACTGTCCCATTATTGAAGCCTCGCGTAAAAAGTCTCGCCTCTGTTGTTCCACATAGCCGCCTTTAAGTGTCTTTATTGCCACGGCGATGTCCATCCTTCCAGGTATGTGCAACCGACCACTACAGACTTCTCCAAATTCCCCTGTCAGAACAACACGATGCACAAAAAGGGTGCACAGTCTGTCATATAATCACAAGAATTTACTGCATGCAACTCAATGACATAATAAAAACAATGCATAGATTCAGTAACTGCTGGCCACATCATTTGTTAGTATTGTGTGTTCTTTGTAAAGTAGAAATGTATGCTTTTGTTTTCATAGACAAGCAAAACAGACATGTGTTTAACTGATTGATTTGCTTTACCGTTGAGAGTTACACAGCTGTATGCACTGCCTCCACCAGATGGAGTCCATGTTAAGGAAACTACACAGAAGGAAGGCACCTTCATAATTACTGAGTTAAATAGCAGACACAATCTGCTCCATTTAATGAAGCATTGAATTTTCACAGTCGGCAGCACAAGCTTTGCTCCCCTAATTGTACAATCCTATAAACTACTTTAAAATCAGTGGCTGTAAAAGTCTTGAATTGAACTTTATGAGGTTTAACATTTCTAATAAAATAAAAAATATTACTCAACATTAAATGTGACGTTTCTTTTTTTTTCTCACCTAGTCAACGGCCGTTGGGACATTTTTACAATAGTGCTGTGTCAGCCTGTTTCTCAACATAAGAAGTACCTAGATTAAGATAATCACTCAAATTAGCCCTTTCTCTCTTGTTACACAAATTCACGTTTTCCTCTTGTAGACAATTGACACCTGTGCAGTGTCGGAGATAAAATCTGGAAACACGTATACAGATTAAAGTATGAGTTAATGCTTAAATACGGCGAGTATGTAGTATTTTTCTGTGTATATCTGTTTTACCTGCACCAATCACCCTCTCGATGCATATGTATGATGGGTCAATCTCTTTGGCAAATTCCTCAACAGCCTGAGTTGGGTCTTCATACGTATCTGGATCCACATAGGTCTTTATCCCCGAGAAGGGGACTGGAAGAGGAAAGAAAATTACAATTTTGATATTTTAAATATTAAATTGGAACATGGAACTTTGACACACATACACATCTTAAACACACTGATAATGTGCAGATGTTTTCATGGGAAACTCTCAGCTCTTCATACAGCATAATGAAAGTGGAAACAAGGTACACATGCAGGTCACACGATCGTGCATCCCTTACTGTATACAGTACGAGAGATCACATAACAACATGAGCACTTGTGCAACCTGATTGTATAAAGTAAAATATGAGTTTTAAACCACAGCTTCCCTCACCAGATTGAAAGATACTTTAAAATTACTTTGATTTACGTAGGAAATTATTTCTTATATTTTACTCAACATGTGTTACATCCTAATTTAATCCTAGTTACATCCTAATTTTGGTGTATTATATGAACCATTATGTCGGAATTTTCCTACTTTATTCAAAATGCAAAATAAATCTTTGATTTAAACATTTAGGCTTTATTGACAACTAATCTTTGAACAATAGTATATTCTGATGCTGTTGGCTTTGGCCATATCAGACAATCATTAACTATACATTTGCTCCTGTTATCTATCTATTATCAGGTTTTCCGCTATTCTGTCAAGGGATGGAGAAAAACAACAAGTAACAAAAGAAAAAACAACGAGCTGAAGAAAAAGCCCCAGAGCAGCATATAGAGACATAGCAGGCAGCCAGGCTTCAGCATCCTCCTCACTAACTGCGGCTGTGGATATTGCTGCAGTGAGCACTGCGTTCACGATGACTGGCACAAATGATAACTTGAAGCAGCCCCCGGTACAGCTGGAGCAGATGAGCTGGGGACTAAATGTACGTTATAGCTCTGTCAGCTTCATCTGAGAAAGATTTCAGTTGGCGTCTACACCCTCCTCTCTCTCTCTCTCTCTCTCCAGGGTGTCTGAACAGCTCCATTGCAGAAAAGGCCTTTTCTTACAGTTTGTTGAGGCTGCCGGCCTCCCCCGCCTCGCTGATGCCTCGCTGATGCCTCGCAGCACCAAACACCAAGGAACAGAACAACAAAAAAACACTCCCGGAGGCCTGGATTCAAACTATTTTCAAACTATTTATTTTATGGCAAGACGGTTGTCATTATGTATTAAGTTCTGCAAGCAAAACTAGATGAATGATGAGATGCAAAATAGCAATAAGTATAATTCTGCAGCAAAGGTTGTCCAACTTTCTGCAGACGGGAGGAAAAGGAAATAGCTCAAAGTCACACAAAGTGTACACACAGACAGGCCAATTTGTGTCTTTGTGTGGGGATTGGTGAGCCACATTTGTGTCCCTGCAGCGCTCAGGTCCAATCCTACAAGAGCTCTCACTCAAAGCACTCGGCAGGACGACATTTTCTTCCCCAGGATTGGTATGTCTCCCCTATGGTGCCAATCAATAACCCTGCTTTTATCTGCAATGGCCAAAGCACACCGGGGTTAATCCTGTAATTCCTTAAACAGAGCAGCGGTTACCCGCTTTCGTTACAATCCATCAATGTGTGCATGAGACAGTGTGAGTGGTTCAGTCTGTTGAGGAACGCTTCCTCACTGATGTGAAAACCAGCACAAGCAATTTTGTAACACACACAACACAAAGAACATGAAATACAAACCATGTCCAGCACGGAAGCGAGTCCTCCTCTTCTCCTCTGACTTCATCCTGGCTTTAATGTAACCCTGACACCTGTGCAGGTGAACCAGTAAGCATCAGAATCAGAAAACAGCCCCATATGTGCTCTCTTTGTCCCGCCTCCAGTGTCTGTACCAGACGATAAGTGTAACGTTGGTCTGTGTATCATTTTGTCTTTTGTTTTTTCCTAGAGCTGTGTGGACTCTCCTCCAACGTGCCTGTTGTCATGTGGAACAAACTGTGTAGAATAATGAATCAAAACAACGTGTTTAGTGCGCACATAAGCACTGTTATCTTACAAAACGTATCAGCACTCTTTTTTTCTGACCATATCCAGTCTCACAACATGATTTCATAATGTCATTGCATTTTAACTACAAATATTCTGTTTTTACAAAAATCCAATGACTTGACACCACTGACGGGCAGTTTTACTGCCCTTGTGATAAAAGGTGGAAAATGGAAAACATTTCAGGCAGCAGAAGCTGATGCCAGTCTTTTGGTTCGCAAAAAGGTGTTTTCCTCTTCCAATAACCCATTACTTTTTTTTTTTTTGTTCCATTTCACAGCTTTTACCTCATTCAGTCCCAAAAATTCAAGGCTTTCAAGGCTCAGTCTCCATAGAGTCAGGACAAATGTAGCAATCAATCCCAAATAGACCAATTTGCATTCTCAATGCTCAAACTGTACACAAGATACATATGAAGGTAAAATCCTCTTAGTATTAAACCTTTACTTGTACTTTTCATCTTTTTGCTTTAGAAGAATTTACTATTAAAATAATGACTGCGCTAGATAAAAGAAGTACTGCTACTGATAGTTCAAGTAGGAGATAAAGCAGATACTGTCGAGTGTCGTTTACATACAGTAGTTTCTGACTTTCTGGCACAATACTAAACTGGTTTGAATCATACTTCGATGACATGTCTCAGCAGGATTTGGAAAAAGCTTGTCCACGCATTTGTCTTCATTTGGTCTACAACTAAAATCATTAGGACCGTTGATTCAGAACACGGCTGCTCAAGTACTGCTCAGCACAGAAATGCAGCGGATATCAGAGACTGTCTAAGACACACAGTCCTTCCCAAAATGCATTCCTTTAACATTTAATACATATTTAAAAATATGGTCTACACTTCAGGGCACATATGTAGAAACTCATTTTATTGGAAATTATGGAAATCTCACTGAGACGAATCAATTTGTCGTCAACAGGCAGATACCTTATATGATACCCGCCAATTTGTCTCATTACTCTCACTACCCTTCTTTGTGTGGGAAGTGCCTGGATCTATTTTTCTTCAAGAAAGTGAGACACATCGTGGAGATATTTTCAGCATTCGAAGTTTGCAAATTGTGTAATCTAAGATTATCATTTCAGTTTTCAGTTCATTATAACGTAAAATACAAACAAATTACCTCCGGATTCTGGTCCATTTGTCATTGTTTATTAATAAGTGCCACTAATGGTAAAACCCTATGAACCAGACTCAGCGTGAAGACAGAGCTAACCTGTGGAAGTTAATGGAACGAAGCAAACTGCTGGTACTTGCATTACACGCTGAGTAATTAGGCAGAAAATTGGTTCAGCCATTTGGAAAATGAGAGTGTCGGCTTGGTGGCAAAAAGAGAGTCCATTAGCAGACTTTGGGCTGTAGCCTCACATTTGAGATCATGAGGGGAGAAACACAGAGGTTGGTGTGTGTCTGTCTGTGTGTGTGTGTGTCTGTCTGTGTGTTTGTGTGTGTGTGTGTGGTGTTAACAGAAAAACAGCATCAGAGAGAAACAGGAGTGAGGGGGTTTGGAGGTCTCACCGTCCAGTGATAAGGAGGAAGAGGGTCAGGATGACCAGCAGGGAGAAACCTCCTACAGACGCCGTGACGACCACCAGAACTTGACCTTGATCAGAAATATCTGGATCTGAGCAAAGTGAGAAGAGAGCAAAGCCAAACCAGTGAGTACCTGTTACTATAACCAGCTCTGCTCAGTGTTAGAACCATAGAACCGACACACTACGTGGTGATATGAAGATGTTGCAAATGAATGAACAAAACGGTTGTAAAAGACGTATATTTAGTTTCTGTGCTGATGGCTTTAAATGGGAATATTCCTACATTTCATTTCCTCTGTGATATATCTGTTAAGTAACTAGAAAGTCCTAGAATAAGGTCAGGAGTAGACAGTCAAGAAACACATAAATCACTGCATTCTGTGACATAACGCCGGGTAAGAGGGAACATGGCACATTTGGAGAAGCAAAATCCAAGTTTGTAAATGCATTGGCATCTGGGAGTATGAAAATGTGAAGGTGGACATCTACATATTCATTACCTAAAGTGTGTATTTTGTAAGAGGATGTGCATTCCTGCATATTTCAGGGTCATTATCAGCAGAGCATAATGTGTGCATCAGCAACTTACAGAGCTTATAAACATTTAAATAAATGGCTCGTGCCTGAAGAAGCACTGACGAGTTTCACTGATCCATAGCAGAGAATGACCATAAAATATGTTAGATTTTATAAGGTTGTTGATCACATCTTTGGCCTTAAACTGCCTTTCCCCTCCAGTCCATGGGTTGGAAACAATACCAATTTCTTTATTTCAACACAGAATATCAGTGCCTTTTCTTTTCTAGAACACAGCCAGTGTGAACACAAGCAAAGGCGCCGTCCCTCGTGCTCGTTACCCTCGGCCGCTGTGGCGAACTCATAGTTGGGGCTGTAAGCGGTGTAGCCAGCAGCAGTGCGAACACGGACGTGGAAGACGTAGACAGTTGAGGGTCTGAGACCCGTCACAACCACGCTGGGGTTTTTGGTCCGTGTTGATGAGTAGCTCAGCTGCTCTTGCTCCTGAAAGAAAAAAACAAACATCATTATATTGCCAGAGAGGATACGGTTTTTGGCAGGAAAGATAGTTATGTGTTTTGCATAAGACTGTTATCACAGAAATCCAAATCTAGATCCAAATACATTTTCATCTAAATAACTATTGGAGCAGATGGTGAAAGAAGTGGAGAGCACATTGCATTGAAGGTGCTCTGAACTTACACCTTCTGAAAGCTAAAAATGCTAATTGCTTTGTGAGCAATGGTTATGTGTGGGTTGCGTGGACTATACGCAACACCTTGGGGCTCCTCTCAGTGCAGAGGCAATTAACACAAACATCATATCAAAATGGTCGAAGAAAACAAGTCCAACTGTTACTTTAAGTACGATCAGAGATTTTACCTTCTCAAAGTATTTGACTTCATAGTCCACTATTTCTGAGGGCAGCTTTTCCGCCTCTGGCCAGGAGAGGGCAATGCTGTTTTGGGATGCCCAGTCTTTCCTGACTACACCCACCAGAGCAGGACCTGAGGATGCAGTCAGAGGGCAGAGGGCAGAAGACTTAGTCGACGTATTATCTCAGGGTCATGTGCCAAAGAATGATCGGTTATATGGATGGGGGGAAAAAACATGAGCAAGAAAAGTGAGCCAAGAAAAGTGAGCCACTCAGTCACCCGTCCAAGAGGCCCGAGGGAACGAGGAAATGAGTGATCTCAGCCATGTACTGCCCGAGCCCAGAGATTCCAAAGGAAAGACACAATTTAAAAGTATCTTCTGCAGTCACAAAAGAGCAATGTCAAAGTATAAACAAAAAGTTTTAAAAAGTCTACACTGGAAAGAAAATCGGAATCACCTGAGAAAAGCACCTGATTTGTACGTTACCTCTCCCCTCTCGCGGTTTAGAGAAGATATTTCAGAAATAACACAATGTCACTGCACTCTAGAGGACAATTTTTTCTCTATTAGAAGAATACCCAAAGGGAATAGAGGGCGGAGAAGAAACCATTTCACTGTCCAGCCCCACTTTAACAGAGACAGTTTTGTTGTCAACAAACCACTAGACGCACGGCGACTCTTCATCATGTTTGTCTTTATTTTCAATTTCGAGTACTGTTCTGAAAAAAGCTGCTGAGGAGACAAAAAAAGAACCCAGCAGAGATTCAAATACTTCATCAATTATTCATGAAGCCTTTGCTTGAACAGAACATGATCTGGCAAACGAACACATCCAGTCCCTCCGTTGTGGAGCTCGCTGTTTTAGAGATCATTTTAGGAATACAAATTCAAACGCAGACGTTTTACACCGTCCTTAAAGCTCAGAAGCAGATAACTCACTCTTAACAGACTGGATGAGGCCCACTGAATTAAGTCAGAAGTCCCGAGTTGCAAATGCGACTTTCACATCTTGTCAAGACTTCCCAAGGCTTCACACGTCCACCAGCTCCACCACTTGGACTGGTGAGAATCTCATGTGTCTTCCTAATACCGGCACGCACCACAAACACACGGGGTCACACATGCGCCACACGCCGACAGGATGGAATCGCTGGACCGCGCTGTCTGTCAAACCGCTTGCAGAGTCACATCGCACGTCTGCCATGTCAGCCGTGCTACTGCAGATAACATGTGTCCTCTCTGTCCCCGTGGCAGGTGGTGGCTGAGCTGCACGCAGCGCCCGGAGATGTTGAGGGAATATCTCAAGCCTCGGAGTGGCTTCCTGCTGCAGTTATTAATAGCAAACAGCAGACACACCAACAACAAATAAACACCTCGTATTGACAGCCGACTCGGTGCAAAAGTGCATATAGCCAAGGACAAACTGCAGTGACCTGGGAATGTCCCCTATGTCATACATGTACGGTATGTTTTAGCTCCAGCCTGGCCACTTTAAAGTCTAATTGAGAACAAGGGTCTAATTATTACAAAGGTCACTAAATTAAACTCAAATTTCTTTAAACAAATTGCTCAGCAAGTTGTCAAAGGGGAAATATGACAGGTAGCGGAAAAGCTTTCAGATTTCGCAGTGGATATTTTATTGTTTATTTCAGATTGACTGGTGACCACATCGCCAATCAAATGTGAACAGTGAAATCCTCAACAAAAGCAATTCAAATGTGCACAGTAGGGCTGCATCAAATCATTGTTTTCACTGATTCATCTGCAGATTCATTTCTGTTCTCTGTACTTGTGTTCTTTATCCAAATGTAGCTGAAACAGAGTAACTGACTATTCAACTAAGCAAGACAAAGAACAATAACTGTCACTTTATCATTTTGATAATTTTACTATTTAAAATATAAACAATATTTATTAACTATCAAAATACGAGTAATTGTTTACTTAAACTAAAAGCTTAAAGCTTGTGATCAATTCTGACCAAGATTGAACAACTTCAACGAATAAAAAACAATGTATGTGAAGAGGAACAGCTACAAAATGAATATTGCATGTAAATCTGACCAAAGTCACGTTTTGTTTGTTATCAAAAATAAGAAAAAGTAAGACCAAAAAGACCATGGGTCTGTGTGTGATGGCTTTTTTTCTAAAAACGCATTAAAGAATTCCTTTCATGAAATCCTCAAAATCATGCATTAGCAGACCCCAAAAATAGAATGAATAAATTAAAGTGTAACTAAATGGACTGGTTATACAAACTAATTAATTAGTTGAAACATATCAAAGCAACAAAGGCATTGATGAATTTCATGGTTTTATAGGAAATCATAATGTTTTTACGTTGCCACCAGTGAAACCAGGCAGATAAATATGCATAACCCACTTGGTACTTGGTATAAAAATGTCCAAGAAAATCCTATTACTAGAGGGGATTTCTGACTGCAGCATACAGTATAATGTTACGTATCTATCGCCATGTGTGTGTGTGGTCGTGTGTGCGTGTGTGTGTAGGTGTGTGTGCTTGAGGAGTGGACTTGGGCATTTTTGTTAGAAACTCTCTAAAAACCCTCTGAACTCTTACGCAAGAAGCTATTTTAGGTTGAGGATGAATCAGCCCGTTGGTTAGAAACCTACTTCTATGTATGAAAAACAACTGCGATCATTACAGTTCTATCACGATTCAAGAGAATACTCACAACTAATGAACTCTCTATATTGTCTATGGGAAACATCTGAATTTAGGTTAGGCCCTCGACTATAGATGAAGAAAGATACAGAAGGGGGTGGGAGAGAGTAGGAGTTAACAGGGAAAGCTGTGAAGAAATCCCACGAGGTTGCATCTCCCCAGCATCTGAGTGTATAAATAGACGTCAGCCTTATTCCCAAAGCCAAGGAGATGAAAACGCAAAGGGAATCCACTGGGGGAAAAGAGAAGAGAACAAAGTAAAGAGAGAAAAGCTCCTGAATGAGGACACGGCAAAAACGTTAGAGAGATGTTCACACATGCGTTTAGGATGTGCGACCTCCGCGTGACTCTTGTTATTGTTTTGAAAAGAAAAAAAAAGGGCGATGAAGATACCATACCTGAAACATAAACAGAGATAAACAACGGATGTGAAATAGACTTAAGTAAAGGTTGAATTCAAATATCTTTCCTCTGGATGCAGCCCATAGAAAGACATGCATACAATACAACAACAGTCCCCTTATTATTAACACTACACTACATACGTACATTTAGGCGTTTATAGCGTTCTAATGCTGTTCAACACATACGCATGCAGAGAGGTTGAAGAGGAAATGTTCACGTAAAACAACTAACTATCTAGGTTAAAATCTGGGTTACCGACCTCAAAACATTGTGGAAATACAAACACGGCGATTGTCACTGTTAAATAGAGTAAAAATGTGCTCACAACACACAGTTGTAATTCTCCTGAAAAGCTAAAGCTGTAGTTGCTGGACTTGCACTGGCGTTGTATTCGTACCGGTTTCTTGATTGTTGTATAAGAAGATAGATGAATCAATGATAATCAATTAGGAAAACAGTCCTGATTGATTGACAGTACGAACAGAACCAGACAACATAAAAGTTCAAATGTAAGCCGCGGAGAGGCACGGAAGTAAGGAAAAGTCAACAAAACAGCCAACAACGTTGTCCGGCTCAACGTCGGACTGGAGGGTAGGTGCTTAAAATCTGGCATCTTAAAATGACTCCACAGAGATGGAATCAAACTACGTAGAACAGGCTCGAAATGCACACTCAATATTGTGACTTAAAGTCAATGATTGTTCAAATCTTTGCTATTGTCAAATATTAAAAAGAACGAGTCAGCTGAGAATACAAAGAAATACCCCTGAAAAATGAATACTAATAACTTGTGATGTGATTTTAAAGACGACTACCATTAAAACCAGTATAATATCCAGTGGTAGCAGAGTAGAACTGAGCACAACTCTGTAGAGATTTCCCCATTTAAACTGGCAGCGATTCTATTCAGGTCATCTCAAAATCAATGCATCAATAAATCATTTTGTGATGGATTTGATTCGATCATTAAATAAACCCCATGAAAACCCACAAAAAAAAAGCAGAATTTATGTCCCAACTTTCAAAAGGCTCAATAGCAGAGCCGCTATCAGTCGTGGGCACCATCTTTTACTGTACACGAGGACTGTTTTGAACACAGACGGGAGTCAATCTGCGTGTTCTTAGGAGCAAATCAGTGTGCAGTAAACGACTGGGACAAATTTGCACTGACTTCTCTGCGCCTCGTCACAAAACACCGCGGTGAACTTAGTGGGAGGAATCGTCGGTGAGAAACGCTCTGCTGTGCAATAAGTGCAGAGATCCAACGGCTCCGCGTTGCTGCCTTGAGAGGCGTCGGGACAACAGCTGCTGACCTTCATCAACTTCAACAAGCATCCTGCTCTGCAAAGGGAAATTAAGTGTGACACACAAAGAGGCCTTCACTGCGACTAAGCGTGTCTTCTGAGAATATGTGAGTAAATAAATATTGCTCAGCTTTATCTGCAACAACAGCGAATGAAAACGAGGTCAACAAGCGCCGGACTCTGTTCAAAGACAGACCGATCGTACCCATTGTTCAACTGGGCATCAGTGTTAGACAACCACAAGAAGGTTTAGCACAATTACAAGAATAATGAGACATTAATATGCAATTTATAAAAAAGATAGCATGCCAACAGAAAACAAATCACAAAAAAAAAACTTTAATTGCTATTCCTGCCGTTGATTGGCTACCATTCCATCGGTGACAGAATTTCACAATGAATTAAATGAATCAGCTTGCAGCATCTGAGTTAATTGGCAATGAGCCTGTCCAACCAAAGTACATCCAAACAAAAGGTTTGGCAAGCAGAGACAACAAGCCTCTGTCTCAGCTCAGTTATACGGTTTTGAGTGCTTGATGAATTCTTTGTATTTAACAACACTGTAATATGTTTTAATGTATTATTATAATAATGTAATATGTATATCTACAATAAACTGTATATATGAAATATCGCGTGCATGTTACCTGTTCATTTACACTCGAGGGAGTTGTTGAGAAGAAATAAGGAAGTGTGATACTTAAAATCACCTGCCACTTATGTAAACATGTATGTCCAATGAACTATGAGTGTGGGAGGAAGAAAAGCGAGGGCGAGCACAGGGACGAGCTGGGAGGAGAGCTAAAAATGTCCACATGCAGGGCTGTGCGTGGTATACGCGAGTGAAGCGAACGCGTGTGTGAATGTTGCCTGTGTATGGATTTGTTTGCCTGCTTGTTTGCATGCTTGCCTGGCTGTGGGTGCATGCAGTGTTTCCACTCTGGAGAGTCGGTTTGACAAGTTAATCCATTCTAAACATCCAGAAGGAAACATCCCCACAGGCTGCTTCTCCTCCTCTACAGAGATTATTTTGCATTACGACTTCACACCCATCTCTCGGCTGACGGGAGGAAGCAAACATGTGACGTCTGGTTTCCATGGCAGGATTTATTTTGATCTAACAAAGTCTATCGCACCACTTTGGTGCAGACAGAAATACATTAACAACTACTAAATTGATTGCAATGAAATTTGGTTTGTCCATTAAGTTATCCCGACTTTTCCCCTAACGCCACCATCAGATCAACATTTTCATTTTCATTTAAATAATTCTATTTTCTTCTAAACAGCTCCAAATTAAAAACTGCAAAACATTCAACCTCAGCTATATTTTATGTAGTGTCTAAAGCTAGCGTGGTAAAACGCTACACTAAGATGGTTCATACAGTGAAAATAAAACTTGTTGACACCAGAACGCACACAGTGACAGAACTTAAATAGGATAAAGCACCATTCTGACTCAGATACCACGATACGGAGATTGATAATTCAGACATTGATGTGTGACTTTGATGCTGCCATCTATTGTACAGATAATTAACAGCCATCTGCGAGCCGACAGATTGTCTGTAATTGTAAACATAACTTTAAGCTGGTTGTCTCCAAAACACAAATATCTTGCACTTCAGAATACAATTGACAAACTGCAACAATCTTACCGCTGTAATTATCGCCGCCTGTTATCACACACAAAGGCGACATCATCAGAATGTCATGTCTAACATAAAGGAGAGAAAATGTGCACATACATCTCAGTATGAATTATTAATCCACTCCTTCCTTCATTTTGACCCTCTCCATCAATAATGCTCCCATTATTTTGAAATATCAGCATCCAGTAGTCACTTGAACAGGCAAGTCTCTTAAATCTCCAATTGAAGCCCAAGACTGTGCTTCTTTGAGGACATTTACCAGCAGTTGATCTCAGGTCAGCCGCCTATTGCTAATTAGCACCATGTTCAAGTCATTATGCTATTAAAGGTCAGAGATGATGTCTTTTTTGACATCTAAAGCTGGACGGAAAGACAGCAACTTTGGAAAAAGAGTTCTCAGGAGAGAGAACGGTAAGAAAAAAATAAATGTTGCAGGTTATGCTGTTACAGGAGCATAAATATCTCAATGTGCTCCTGCAAAACACAGTTTTTATGTAACTACAGCATGTGCATATGTCAGGCATGCATTTGAACATTTATTGATATTTATTCCCACCAAAGTTACTGAATCTCAATCTCTCAAACTCAAAGCCTTGTTTGATTGATCAAACATATTTCAAATAAGCAATATACAGTAGATGAGAGTGACTTTAAGCATTCAGCACAAACCACAGTCCACAGTTAATATGAGGTAATATAAGATAATCTAAGGTGAATTGTAGACTATTTTTTACCAACCCTTTACAGAATTCATCCAGTATTTTTGGGTCTCAATGCTTCTGAGCATTAGGTAGTTTAGTGTAGCACATATCTAGATAAACATGTGAAGGAGTAACCTGCTTGTTATTTATCGGTTTTTATCGGTTTTCTTTGGCTCCCTGCCTCACCGGTTGAATGGTCCACTGGGAAAAGTCCCACCTGTCCAGATGGCCATTTTTCCCGTGCCAGCAGACATGCAATGTGTTGCTATATTTTGTAGCTTCCCACGTACTATTTCCACCCTGGAAAATGTTATAAAATTGATATTGTAAAATCCATGTTGTAATTAGTCTTTCAAATATGTTTTAGTTATAGTTGAATCAGAATATAAAGTTGAAATTAAACCTCGGACCCCATTGTGTAAATACCTTCCATAATTGTCTGTTAATACATTAATTGACCTGTTTTAGCGCTCAGAAAATAAACACTTCATTTTTACGTTTGATCCAATATAATTCCCCCCTATAGTTCTGCGGTCGGAAAATTAGCGTGTCATCATTACCCCAGTTGGATTTGAGGGCACTGAAGAAAACAAAAGCTTTCAACTCACCAGCTTGGTTTGTATTGACGGTGACATTGGCCAGCGAGCGTGGAGACACCCCCAGCCCAGAGACGCCGTTTGCCGCCTCCACATGAAAGGTGTAGTTAACGTGCGTCGCAAAATCTAGTATCGCCACGGAGGTAGCGGTCAGACTGAGCGGCCGCGGGATGAAGCGCAGGTCTGGCTCACATGGCTCACACTGCGTCACGCCACTGTCGCCGTCTCTTCCATCACAGCGCTGGCACAGGACGTTGTAAGTGATGTCCTCCCTGCCTCCCGTGTCGATGGGAGGCGTCCACTGCAAGAAGAGAGCCGTGTCGTTGATCAACGACACCAGGTTCCTGGGAGCCGACGGAGGCCCTGCGGGGAGACGAGAGAGAGCGAGAGAGATTGACTAGAGTGAACCAAAACCTACGATCTATGATCTCTGGTGACATTTCAGAGACTTCTTTGGAGAAGCATGTCTGTATTTTACCAAGTGATACCAGTGATAAAACCGAACTTGTGGAAGACTAATTCAGCTTTGTGTTCAACAATCAGTATTACTAGTATTGGTTTGGCAAATTCATCAGAACAGGAGTTTGTGTGAGAGGGTGTGTTATTGTATATGTGACATGATGAAGGTGAGAAAGGTGCCGGGTCCAGACGGCATCAGCTCAGTTTTTTGATTCTTCCAGTGCCTTCCGGGGTAAACCACCATCTCTCTGCCAAGCGTCCCCAGTATGCACAGATACACAGCGGGAGTCAGACGTGGTGCACAGGGGCCCCGTAGAGAGCCGTTCTGGCTTCACTCTCCCTATACACCTCGCACTTGCAATACATCTCTGCTAACTGCAACAGTTAACTGATATCTCTGCAAAATCGTCTGCTTATTTCTTTCCATTGGTGCCAGCGCGACCACCTCCAGATCAACTCTAGTAAAACCAAAGAGCTGGAGGTGGACTTCTCCCGGGATTCTCAGCAACTAAGAAGGTCCCAGCCGAAAGAAACACAGTTTTAGTAAGAACTTTACTAACTTGTGCAGGCCACGGTGGAGGAGTCTTTGATTGCTCTGTAGAAGCCTTTGTCGCAGTGACAGATGGTGGCGGCCTGGTCATGGCTGGAGCTGTGTGAAGGACACTTGGAGCATTCGGTGTTCCCAGAATACGCTTTGAAGGAGCCAGGCTTACAAGCTGGAGAAAGAGAGAGGGGCAGGATAGAGCCAGTTACAAAAGCGCACACACACACACACACACATTTCGTTCAACTGTGGTCTGACATTTTGTCTGATGCCCTTGGCTTTGCACCTAAAATAATCATCCCAGTCACTTCCACCATACTATGGTGACCAAGCTATGAACCTCAGACGTTGGATAGTGTTTGCACCCAGTGATGGAAAATAACACAAAGGAAAGTTGTTGTTATTCGTCTGGCATGATAAAATAAAAACAAGAAAAACATTCACATACAAATAATGTATTATTAAAATGCAATTGTGGTTTGTTTCAGATTAAAATCTGCATCCACTTATCTGATCCATCCTACTGACCTACAGTACCGGTTCACCAGCTTGAAAAAGAAGTTGCGTCCAAACTATGGACAGGTACTGTAATTATTCTTTAATCTTTATATGCATTTCTTTCCAACCTCATTATTTCCTCTGGTTCTCTCCTATTTGATCTTTCCATTTCCTTTTCCCCACCTTTTCAACCAACTCGCCTTTTCTTATCTCTGCGATTTCTTTAATCTCCCCTTTTCTTGATTTTATTTTCAATTTCAAAATGATCAAAAAAATATGCCTGATATGAGACATAATGGAATTCAATCGAGGCTTCATGGCAGACAGGCGCATTTTACAATTTCCGCATTCTAACATTTTCCCACGTTTGCTTATTTTCTTCCACACATCACCGGAGACAGAGACCATGTAGCGTCCTGTGAGCACGGTATTGTGACGCATAGTTGTCATTGAGACTAAAATCCTCTTGTTGTTATAATCACTGGTTATTACAGAGATGCTGTAGGTCTCACGCGCATGAGTCCAGCTGCTACACAGAGACTTGGTACTGCATGTTGGTGCATTGATGGTCCTGGTAAAGTAAATGGCATTAAATGTATCCGGCCAATAATATTTAACGGAGAACAGTGAGAAGATTAAAAAAATTCAGTAGTCGTGTATACACTAAAACCTGCAAATTATAATGCAAAGCAACAGTATCTCCAGCATCTTCATGTGTGTGGGAGAAGAGGTTGAATGAGGACTTCCTACCTCAGGCTACATTGGTGTTACGTGAGTCTACCTGAGGCCTCTTGTTAGAGCGCCATCAACAGCTCAGTCGTTCATTCAACTGATACACTCTGCTGTGTAGAGACCACCTGTAGGAGAGCAGCCTGTCACATCAGCCTGGAATATTATTTTGAGAAAAAACAAATTGCAGGGTTTTGAATACGTCTCCCGTGGTCCCGTCCCACAGAGAATTATCTTTTTTGAATCCAATCTTAGTGAGCGGAAGGAATCTCATCTCTTGTTCCCGGCAATCTAAAACCATATAATGTCATCACTGTCAGAATAACTGCAATCCCTTTGCCACAAACACACCTCAAGCTAAGGAATATGTAAAACAAGGGTTTGCTTCCTGCAAGGGAAACATAAAATATTGCTTTATTTCTTCACAAAATTGAGCTTTACCTCAGCGCGGGATTCAGAGCTACAACTGACAATTATCTTCTGTTGTAGATGAATCTGTTCTAATTATTTTTATTCATTTGAGATGTTTTGTTGTTGAATGTGTTCTAAGATTGTCCATTCTGTCCAAAGAACTAAAGAAGTATTCAAATCTCATGTTTCGCCGTCTCTGTCGCACTCTGAGCTCTATTGAAGACATGCAAGATGGAGTTAAAATGAAATATATAATACCAGGAAAAACAATCTGCATAACAAGGTGGAACTAATTGAATAAAAAGATATGCAAATAGGATCCGATGAAGTATTGATACACAGATATATATCCTCTCCAAAATCACATTGCTTCTTAGCTCCTAATGGGAAGAGTAATTTGTCACCCAGCTTCCAATTTTTGAGGCCCCTTAGTCACTTGAATATTACTTTCCTCCCGTGTTGAGCTCCTGCCAAAGGCAATAAACTCTCAGATTCATTTGAATTGCAGCTGCTCCCTGCTCTACGGTGCTCGCTGGCAAGATCACCACCAAAAAGCAATTACAATACTCATAGCACCATTTCTATCGGAAAGTTGGAAAACATCCCCGCCACACACATATGCACACACACACACACACACACACACACACACACACACACACACACACACACACATAATGAGATCCAATTTGTACCCTATAAGCTGTTTGGCTTTTTGTCATGGAACGCATTCTTATTCAAGGAGCAATATTGCCACAAAATAGGTATTCCCATTCAGAGCCAATACGGCTGGGGACAGAAAACAAACAACAATAGTGGCGACAGGGAAACGTTTTCTCCAGTTTGTAGAATCGGGACCAAAACTAATGATCCTTTTTTTCCACTATCCATTATCCTGCCAATTATTTCTAATTAATCAATTAATCACGTGGAGTATTAGATGCCAGAGATAGTTAAACATGTACGTTATCGTTTTAAAACTGCCAAAAAAAAGTTTTCTATATAAAATCCAACCATTTTTACATTAAGGTAGGACATCGGATAAGATGTACTTTAAACACATTTATATGATCAACTACAAGCAGCCGATTAGATCTGAAGCTGCATTCTTTTGGAATCGACGCTATGCCCTAAAATCTGTTTTTTTTTATCTGTGTCAACTAGGCCGCTGAAGGGAGCATGTGGCTTTTTGGCTGCTAAATGATGAGACATTGCTGATAAAAGCAGTAAGCAAATGAGAACATTGAAGTTGCATGAAGTCCAACGATCTACAAGATGCTGTAACGCTCCGTAGAGCCAAGGAAGCCTTACGGAGTAATTCCCTGATTCCTTAACTACAGGTGATCCCTTTGAAATTGCACATTAATTTTATCAATAAAAATATTGATCAGAGCAGCTTAGTAAATACACTTTTCTAAACACAGTGATTCGAAGTTAGCTTGAGGTCAACAGGAGCCCTTGAGAATGCATGACTTCAATATTTAAAAAGCAAATTCAACAACTGCACAGTCGAAGGAATTTAAAGATAAACAATTCAAGAATTTAAAGATCTGCCAACCAAGAGATGTGGAGTTGAACATACTTCTCTTGGCTTTACGTTGTCAGAAACAGATGGAGGCAGAGTCCATGTTTACCCTGGACTCTTGTCTTTGATATGCAGATGGGGAGTTCACAGAGAATGAGTGATGCTTTAGTCTGGCTGAGCTGCGTTGGAGGGCCAAAGTAAACACAGTCCTCAATGGGCAGAGGAGGGCAACCGATGCAGCTCACGGGATGGATGGATTTCATCGACTCTTGTTCCATTTTTCCTGAATTCAAGGTCACCAGTTTGTACTTTTCCTGCGCAATCAGTGCCGTGTGCGGGGACAGCAGAGGTCCTCGGTGAGCAAGCCACGTTTTTGGCAATTTCTGTAACACGGACGGGTCGAGAGGTCAAAGAGAAATGGAGGAATACAGACTTTACAGAGTGTGATTCTGGCAATCTCCGTCAACCCTTCCTCCTTGCAGTAAAAAGGGAAACGCATCTGCGTTTGTATCGACTTCGGGAAAAAAGTTTTGCTCAAATTATTTTAATAGAAGATTTTTCGAACTGTCGCAGAATTACCTCCAGCTCACTGGCTGGCGTCTGTGTCTTGTCTGCCCGTTCGTTCTGATTCAAGTGGACTTTGCCAGCGAGTCACGGCCTCCCTTTTGAATGTAATTGTGTGACTAAAAGACGTGGAACAAACAGCGTTAGCGCTACGATGTTGCCTTATCTAGGTCATGATATAACCAGCCTATCTCTAAGTAATCCTCTGGTGGCTGACACTGAATGAAAGGAATGGCAGAATAAAACGCTGGAGTGAGATGTCAAAACAGTCTGGCAGAATGCTATCGGGGTGGAAAGCAGGGTTTGATAAGCACTGATGCCTTTGTTTAGGCAGCTGGGAGGGAGAGATGGACGTGTTGGCGCAGCGCTCTGCTTATATTTTGGAGCGCTGGGGTTTTCCCTATTCTCTCTCGCCCTCGCTCTCTCTTCCCGCTCTCTCGCTTTTTTGCTCTTTCCCCTGTGCTGCCTCTCAGACAGCTTTGATCACAGCACCCTTTGAAGCAGTGTTCCAAAACGAAAACGAGGAGAAAGCAGAAGTCACCGCAAGTTCACGCCTAAACTTCCTGCACCTACTTGCACTGCGCACATATGGTTACAGCAAAAGCTCTGCAAGAACTGTGCAAAACGGGAGTTAAAGCCCTGAATCATTCATTGCAAAGCCGTGATGTGTTTTTACTGCCGATCTGCTTTTGCTAAGCTGATGTTAATGAGGTCAAAGATGCAGTTTGACAATTGAACAATGGATAAAACCTGATAGATGTTCCCTAATATTTCTGAACCCAACGATGATTCCTACACAGCTGAACAACGGAGCAGTACCTCCGCTTAGCTTTTCCCACGATGCCACAACAGTATTTTAGAGAAGAATCTGAAGAGAAAGCAGCCATTTTGGGAAATATGCCGTTTGTTTTCAGACATGGTGAGACAATATGTTTGTGTCCAGTGCAGAGACATCTTTGGTAAATGTTTAGCTGGGTTTGTGTCCTTCTGGTTGAAATGCACAAGTCGCTTTGGATAAAAGCGTCAGCTAAATGACATATAATGTAATGTAAAGACACAAAGGCTGAATAAAAGGGGAGTCTGCTGGTCAAATGTCAAAATATAGTGAGAACCTTTTTTAATGTTTTATTGTTTTACACTTTGTATTTTGCTGTACATGTAGTAGTTAAGTGGATAATAGATTACCGAAACAGAGACTTTAATGTAGTGACTAAATAGATGAATCGATGACCTATGGATTGAATTATCATTGTGATTGATAACATTTCTACGTAGTTGTTTATAGTTGGAAATCAATTCCTCAAACTCAATTTTAGGTGAGTTTACTCAGGTCAGCCAAAGGTACCAGAGACACTATGAGACTGCTGCTGTCTCATCACTAATCTCTCCTGACAGGCTTCTGTGTTGTTTAACCAAAGAGAGAAAGAGGATGAACACAAAGACCAGAAGAGCAGAAGATACAATTACACCTGCAGAGAAAATAGAGGAGACATTACAGCCTGCCCTACATATAAACTTTGCCAACGACCGTTGGAGTTCTCTCTGTAATAACCTGAGTTGCATGAATATTTCCCCCCAACCAGCTGAGACTCCTGTAAGTCTGTGAAACGTTGCAAGTAGCAGGAGGTGCACTCATTGTAACCGTGCAGTGTGGCCTTAATTACAATAGCAGGTCTGAGCTTTCTAAATTAAAGGGGCGGGTTGGGGAGTTTAAAAAAATACTTAGTTCAAGCTAAATTAGCTGTGAAACTAATAAATGAAGGCAATTAGCCAGCTAGCTCCCAGTCTGTCTGCACAGTGTAATTGGGAAGCCAGTCCTAAGGCCATCAAGTGTTTCTTTTACTTTTTCTTAATCTGCTTTGCTAACAAAAGGGCGTATTTCAATAGTGCTAATGTGACTAATTAAAGAAAAGCTATACTAAGTAAGTTGTTGGATGTAAGTGTTTGTGTAAATGCAACGTGGCTGAATGTTTGTATGTATCTACCACAGCAACACAACAGCCAAAACAGCTTAACATTAAAAGAAACGACCTTCCCTTTTTAAACCAATATTTGAAACAGTCCAGAAAGCTCCTCATGAGGGTGATTTTGAAATGTCAAACATAAATCCTTCCTGATGTGCACTAATCTCTTCTTATCCACATTGTTTAGGATCGGGTGGCAGAAAAGGGTGGTGATGAGAAAAAGCAAGAGTCAGAATTAAAATGAGGAATGAAAAGAAACGCGGCGACGCGGAGGGACAAAGAAGGACGGGCGTGTAAGTGAAGCAAAACAAAGTGGACAAGAGCGAGGAGAAGATGATGAGGAGGCGGGCAGAGGATGTGAAGAGATGAAGAAAGATTGAGAGGATCAGACAAGGATGCAGCATCTTAGAACGAGAGGAGGGAATAGCAGCTCTGGAAATTCAAACTGCTGCAGACGAGCGGGGAGGCCCTGGAGATCTGTTATAGCGATGCCTTCCCTCCCCTCTTCGTTTCATTCGATTCCTTCTGTGTGTCCTCAGCTTTACTTCACTGTTCTGCTCTAAAACGATGAGAAACGCCGACAAACTTCTCACCCCGACAGTCGCCATCCATCTCGGCGTGGCCGATGCTACAGACGCAGCGGCCCAGGGGCACCAGCCAGTCTCCGTCAGCCCCACAGTACAGCTTGGGCGTGTCCCTTTCTTCTGCATTCTCCACACACGCGCCCCTCACTTCCACCAGCGAGGACGAGTCCGTGTGTGGCACCGTGTCTGGAAATACCGCCAGGTTCCTCACCGTCGACGGGCAGCGTTTGTAGAACACCTTACGGGAGAGCAAAACAGAGGAGGTCAAAGCACTGGTGGTCTTGTGAGATGAACGGAGTTGACAATTCCACGGCTGTAGTCGCACGCAAACGTCTCCGCTCACTGACCTTGACGGACACAAGGGCAATACAAGCCCCGACATCCTGGAAGGCCAAGTAGAAGCCCCTCCGTGTCACCGGCCCGACCTCCCTGACCTCGGTGTTCAGGCGAAGAACCCGATCTCCGAGATCTGTCTGTGTAAAACTCTCATCTGCCGCTATGGTGTCCACCTTGAAGCCAACGACAAATACAATGCGGAGCACAGTTCATTGTTACTGAATCCTATGCGCAGCACAACAGAGAACGCTTTCTTTTTTACTTTCATGATGCGGCTCTGAAAAGCAACCTTGGCGTAGTCGGTGGGTCTGAACCGCGTCGCCGCAGACAGTGGTTCCTCTGTCTGCAGGTAAAAAAGGTTGAAGGTTTCCTTACAGGTACCAGACACCCAAGGAATGGAGTTGCAGTCTCTCAGCGTGAAACGCAGCTCCACATACACCTGAGTTAAGAAAAACATTTAATAAATAAATCATCAAAAGCTCTTTTTAACATCTCAAATACATGTCTATTAGACTTTCTACGTAACAATAAAAGGCCTTTTTTAGGGTCAGGTATCAGAGCAATAGAAAGAAATACAAATAGTAAAATGAGTGATATACAACAACATGTTCCCATTAGCCCGACCAGGCTCGCGTGGTCTCCAGTAGCTACTGAGACAGCTCAGCTTCTGCCATAATGAGCAGCAATCCAGTCAATGTGCCAAGAAGGAATACTGCAGCGTCTTTAATTGATCATGCACTGTTCTCTACTCACTCACTTCAATGGAATCCTCTGTTTCAAAGTGAAATCATGTTTAATGTTATTTTTTAGTAAATCTGAATCCCCCCCCAGACTTTCCCAACCTGGAGAGAATGTCACGCTCTGAATCAAGACGACTACATTTGATTGAAATTAGATCTAAAAAAGAAGATATAAGAGGTCCAGACCCTCTGTGCAGCCTGCCGTTGGATCCATCCAGACCGCAGCCAGTTGTTCTGGTTTGGCTCCATTACGTGGCAAACCTGGAAGGTGTGAATAGGTCTGTTCTGCTCATCCATCTCAGTGATGGCATCCCACTGTAGCAACATGGAGAGAAAAGAACAATTGCCATATGCCGAACAAGTATTTAGTTTGTGTATTTATGGCCTACAGTTTAATGTTTGTGTCATTTAGGTGAACTGACCCTTCGATAACAGTAATTTGTTAATTGTGTGAGTTACTAGAATCCGTTGTTATCGCAGTGGTAGATTAGTTTGTAAAGAGCTACAGAATAGAAGATATATTGGTATTGACCCTATTACATGTTTAGAGCTTACAATATATGCATCTCCATGAATAATCAGCTTTTAGTTCATTCCACATGAAAGTGTAACCGTTTAAGGCATGAAGTGAGACATCATTTCTATGAAAACACGAGGTTTGAAAGACACCGAGTTAGTTTTCGCCGATGTTTTCAAGCTGTTGCATCAGCCAGACGACCTCGATTCGTCTGCTCCATTTTAACTGTGTCATTATTGGAGCTTGAAAAGCACTAACATGAATTGACAGAACTTCTTTCTCACTACTCTCGTGGCAGCAAACGGGCACCTGAGATCGTGTCAGTTACACAAGAGCATGAGATCCATTGGATAACTTGTCCAAAATAAGGGGAATTACTTTCCTCAGCAATGGTTGAACCAACCAACCATTGGGGCATTGTGCCAAATCAATGCCTGGTTTTCTTACGGCTCAGCACGATCTCAGTAATATTAATACAATTGTGTGCTCACAGCAGCTCACTCTTCACAATGTGATCAGGTCAGCTGCAGTGACCGGTTTATAACCAAGTCCCCAATCAGAGACGGGACTCTCCAAAGGACGCAACTCGAAAAGGGGGCTTTTTTTCCAGGGAGTCAACACGGATCACTCAAACGCTCCATTGGCCATGTGATGCTGCACGCTGGGTCGTGCTATACTGAAGGCAGCAAAGGCTACATAGGAGTTGTGTTCTCCCACTGAGAAATCCACTAAATGGGACATCTTGTCAACTATTGCAACCTCTTGGTCTGAAAATGCCGCCTTTCCAGCATCTTTCCCCTAAATTCGTACCGTGATTGACGAGATTTCCATTCAAATGTTGTCCGCATCCAGTAAAAGACTTCCACATAGGATATAAGGATCAATAGAAAACATCATGCTGGATGGACTAACATACACAAATGTTATTCCAACTTTTGTTGCTGAATTCAAAGCTCTTCTTATTGATTTCACTCTCCACCATGTTGGTACCTACATTATAATATTCTGTACCTTTGATATCTGCAAAATGGGGTGTTCAATTGGAGAACATTTTTCAAAGCAGCACATACGATAAATGATATTCAATGATGAATATCAGAGAGGTGTTTGACAAAGACAGACCCAAGGAAGGTAGATGACAGAGTTGCATTGCAGCGGAAATTGAACCGACTGAGTTTGGATGTTTACATATGTAAATGATTTGATAACACTTTAACCTTGACTTGAGCGCACAACTGCAAAAGCAATTAATCTAATATTAATCAAGCTATCTAAATTAGCTCCATAGACACCCAGGTACTAACGATTAATCAATTTCACTTTCAATTGGAACTCCAGCAGGCGAGACAAGAACACTGGGCTTCACATATGGCCTCTAAATACTGTATATCATTGCTGTTGAAAGTAACTTCTTGGCATTTGATCATTTTATATTTACCTATGGCAGAAAATTGTTGAAATATTTCCAACGGATCCGAAGCGTTTGACTGACTAATAAACATTGCCATGCAAAGCCCAAAATAAAAACTGTGTTAGCAGTGAATTATCACATGACAGTAAGCCTGTAATCTCCGAGATGTTCTGCTTTGTGTTAGTTGTGTGAAGTGTGAATGTTCTTGAAGTCACAGGAAGAAATGTATCACACTCGCGATGGTTTTTCTTCAACATACGCACTCCACATTTATTCCAGTGCCCTCTAACAGAGCACAAACAGAAACCTACGACCTTTACAGAAAACAGGATTTGTGGTTTGCATAAGATCAGCATTAAATAATTGAAGTTCAATTATGCATACAAACAAGAGAAAATGGTAATTTGTCACTCTATGAACCTCTGTGTTGTAAATGCTCCCTTGGGATGTGGCGCGGTTCAGAGCAGAAAAAAACAAACACATGCAAACCCAGGTTTTGAAAGATGAGCTGCAGCCCACGCTCTCCGAGGCGATCAGATATGCACCTACTAATCGCTCTGCCGGTTACCCCCAAGCTTAGCCGACTGCAGCAGACTGATACCAGGTTTGGACAACAAGATATGGACGTGATTCATGTATTAAACTTACACTAGTATCGGGATGTGCAATAACAGATTCTCTTAAACTGACCTGCTCAGTGTTACCTGCTGTGGAGGCTGCCCCTGTCACTAAACATTATGATTAATGCAAGAATTGATTTTGGGCCTCAGTTTATTGGCATCGTGACCCTTGGGTGTCCAAAAAGCAATTGAAACACTACATTTGGACCCTATGGAGTGACTTCTCGACTTTGGCTTGTGCAGACGCACTTCCCGTCCGAAGGGATTTTAGCAAAGTTTTCACCACAGCAATCAATTACTATGGTGTCTGCATACAGATGATGACTTGAAGGAGAGAGTGGCAGAATCATGCAAAATCATTATTTCTTCATAGATGATCATTAACTTGAAGAGATTGAGTCCATCTTCGGACTTAAAGTGGAAAGACACATAGCAGCTGCTCAGTTTCAATCAGCTCCATATGGTCGCCATATTACAGTAACACACCTGTGGCTGCACTGATAGTTCTCATATGTTAAGACTGGAAGATGCTAACTGCGTATGCATGGAGGCAATTTGTCACAAGTCAGACGTTTGTGTGGGGGATCTGTGGCTTACTTGTGGGAATACAAACAGTTTTCTTTTTCATACAAACCTGCCTCGTTACAGAAACGTCTTTGAAACGATGAGCTGTTTTGATGCAGGACAGGATAACATGTTGAGATTTGTGTTTCTGCTGCTCTTTGAGCCTCTGCAACATAATTTGCATGCGCCGTTCCAATATAACAAAAGTTCAGCCTTGTTACCATTCGAGAACCTCTCTGTGGATACGACAAACGGGACGATCGGCCGACAAAACCTTCAGCTTAATTAGCATTGGAAGATGTCCAAATCTGAGAGGGAGTTGTCAATTTTGATTATCGTTGATTATTGCCCTTTTGAAATTAGTCTTTTAATTGAATTACCACTTGAGTCAATCAATGTTTCTGCTTCTTTTTTTTTTTAGTTCACTTAAACCTGTGATGCCTCAAACACAAATTATTAAAACAACCTGTGCATGTAAATCGTAATTCAGAAAGGGATCCGACCTCTCATGAAAAGCAGTATTCCTGATTTGAAAATCGATGATCCCTCGGCTTGTACCCTGTATCTACCCTGCACCCTCTGAGACGTTTGCAGTGCTCTGGAAAAGTGTGACCAGAACTTTAGATTTATTTCAAAGTTCAACACAAGGCGGCTGTAGCACGTTCTCTTTCCACCCAGTTTCCTTTCCTGTGTGTTATTGAACAACTGTGAATGTTGGCAGTGGTAGAACTGTGAGAAAAACGAAAGGAGGAGAAATGGAGTGAAATAGGTGCCATTTATATGGATGATTTATTGCTAATGCAGTGCTTTTAATGCCAAACAATACTTAGACCTTTCATCGGACCTTTTGCATTTGGCCTCAACCTATAAAATACATATATGATCATTTTAAAAATCATACTCACATAGTGAAAAATTACCTTTTCTCAATATCCCAGAATACGTGAGAAAAAGCATGAATAGCAACATAATACACATGAATTAACTTAATCATTTTTCCTGAGTATGTACGGAGAGTGTTTAGGCTCTATTCAAAAGAATTGTGGACCCATTTTGTCAAGATTAAAACCCTTAATGTTGCCTGTCTCATGGTCAGAAGGGCCACATTCATGCACTGAGGCCACATGATTGAAGAAAACCTCTTAAAGATCTTATCCTTTCAGTGCAGATGAATTCATTAAGCATTAATATTTCTCAATTTTATTTGTGCAGCCTAATATCATAACCTTTCCTCTGCAGACATCTACAATCCGTGCAAATCCTTCCCCATTGGAACGTTTGCATGGGTCATATACATAAAGTATGTAAAGTAAGTAAGTAAGTAAAGCATTAGTTTCTGCAGGTACAGCTACAAACAGCACATGACAACCAAGACACATTCACAATTACTATCACATGAGCCACTTTTAACTTTAAAAACGCTAAATCCCTCAGTAAACTTTCACAGTAGAATGAGGTGTCAAGCGTGACCTTGAAAGAGAACAATACTATGTGGTGGGAATTTGCATGGAAGCATGTTAACCGTTTCTTTACTACACAGAAGCAGAAGGCCGTTTGCTGACGGGGAACCAAATCAATGCATTTTGGGAGTTTCCCGTGATAAAACCTTTCTGGGCAGAGTTTCATAAAACATTACAAAGCATAATTAACACTGACCTGTCCGTGCAATTTTCTATATTATTCTTAGTAAAAATTGACTTCCAAACATGAAAACCTGTTTGGCATTTTAACGACAGCCTGCAAATCAGCGCTCACAAGGCTCTGGTTGCTTCCTGAGCAGCAGATACAAGAGCGGAAAGATTTCATAAATTACATCTACGTTGCTTTAGCTGAGCAAGCCAATCACATTCTCTTTCAAGCCCCCCCCCCCCGTCTCATGTTTTGGTTTTTTTATGCGTACACACTCCCAAGTTGTACAAACTTATCCAACTTTTAAAAAACTGTGGACACAATGTATATTGTATAGCTCATCGCTTATACGCTTTCTATAGCGTGAATCTATACTTTGTTACCTAAGCTACATTCAAAACACGTAAAAAAAAACAAAGATAGTGTTTCCTCAAATTACGTACGATTGACCAGTGAGTCCCTCAAGGCCCCATTCAGTTCAACTCACTACTAAAAGTATTATGGTATTAGTTATTGGCGTAATTGTTGGCGTAAGGAGTTTTTTAATTAGTATTTACTATATTAGTTTTAAGCCAACAAAAATATGTGAGATCATGTGTCGAAAGGAGAAAGATATGTTAATCCCATTTAGGGGTAAATTCTATCAGCGTTTCATAGATGATTACAGGACAAACACCCACACACAAGCACACAAACACACACACGTACCTGTATTACACACAGTCACCAACAACGGCGGAGGCTGAGAGGTATGAGCCTTTGATTAAAACAAGACAATTTGTCATTGTCAGACTTAAGGGAAAAGAGACAGAGAGGTCTTATGAAAATATCATTAAATCTTGGTAGCAGTAATGAATTATTGATTTGACGTGATTCGTTCAATCAATTGATGACGTTGTTGCTCTCCATATCAAAAAACTGTGTGGGGAATGTGCAGTGGCGCAGAGCCATAATATCGCAATATTGGTATTTGGCACTGAAAATATCTCAGTATTTTGTTGCTATTTATTGGTTTTGCTCCAAAGGATTTATTACACTTTTAATAACAGCCTGAAAGCACAAACAGTCCCGCCTTCACCCTGTGTGGCAAATTAGACACAGCAACACAGGCAAATTATTGCTGTCGGTGATGTTTAGAGTCCCAGCTGAAATATTTGTAAGGCGCAAATCCACAGCATTTTCCCTTCAGGCTCAGTCCTGTAAGACTGATGTGCTACAATTCAATTAGTCTAATATCTAGAGGTTCCAGAGGCTTGATGAAATTTGTATTCATTGTGGAGACCGTTAAGTCAAGATTTGGTGTTTTAGGCGATTTATTCAGCCTTTACAATTCAGTGTTGGTCTCTAAAAGTGTGGTTTGTATGTTCTTATTTTTATTTGTGTGTGCATTGTTTGTGAGTCGAGTCAGAGTACAGCGGGACGCAGGATGTAGATCTCGATGCTTGGGTGGTATTGTCCCATTCACGGTTGCTGAACCCATCTGTATAATAATCCATTACACTGTATGTGTAACATGTTAAAAGCTGTCGGAAGGTTCAAGAGCTCGAACTGGTCATTAAAACATTTCCTGTCTGTGTTTGTATGCACATAGCTGATATTTAGGGTATAATATTTGGTAACACATACAGTACCCTAGTTATCCAAATACGGTGTAAATAGCATGTTGCTGTTGTATATTGTTGAGCTGGAACTCATTTTTATAGTTCTATCAGATAGATTTGAGATTAGATCATTGGGGTATAAGAGAAGTAAATATCGTGTTTTGTAGAAAATGTAATAATTTGACCTCTCTGGTCCTCAAACAGTAATTTAAATGAAACAATCTCATAAATAAATTGTCTGTTTGGTTCAACTACTAACAATTCGCAGAGAAGGTTATTGGTTTGAAACCCATTGTAGATGTGACTTCTCAGTTCTATAGCAGAAGGAAGACATGCCATTCTGTGTGTCCTCAGTTTATTCACTAATCGCATTTGTTTTTCCCTCTGGTCAAAGACAAGCATTCAGCGACCGCCTGTAGCGATCCAGAAGCTGGATGTTCTTGTTTCCTTTTGACATGACAAGTTTCTATCTGGGACGGGTTTGTGTAACAAGGATTCTTTTTCAGGATTTTTTCAGCACTTTCCAAATTGGATTGAATTAAACATCCTTGTACAAACCGCAACAAAGCGCAGTAAAGTCAAATGTATCCAGCTGTATGCTCACTTCTCCCCAAACACACACATCTGCTTACTATTTAAAACCCTTCTGCATGAACACGCTCAGGCTCCCGCACTTGTATTAGAGAGTCCGGAGTGAAGGTTTTTCCACAGATAAAAGTGTTTGGAATAAGCTGAACTAGTTTTGCTGTTGAAACCGGCTACCATCTACTTCATCAATCATTTTCTTAGTTTTTTCATCCTTTATTGACCGTAGAAGCATTAGAGAAAAATAAGAATCCAAGGTAACACAGTGAGTAGTTGATAAACAATTGGTCATCCTTGGAGCGACGCAGCTTTTCATTCAAATAAAGCACAGCCTGGTTCAAGTCTGGACACCAAACATTAATGATAATCCACATTCACATAACTCGGCTCGGCTGATTGGGTGATTCACATGCTTGATACATCAAACTGTTGTATTTCATTTGTGGGTAAATAATTCAAATTGCTGCCTGGTTATATTCATGTGTGTATAGTTGTATATCTTGAAGAAGAAATGCTGATGTCACTCACCCCGTTGACAGGATAGGTCTTCCAGTCCAGCTCTCCCAGCACTGTCGTTGTGTCCAACAGAACCACTGGAGAGAGACAGAGACAGAGAGACATAGGGGAAGAGGTTTGACGACGCATTTTAAAAAGAAGAAAATGGAGGTGACAAAATGGGAAGAGAGCAAATAATAGTGATCTAGCTGTCAGTGAGGAGCCAACTCAGATGTAAAGCCCTTATCGGATTCAACCACCTATGAAATAACAGCTCTCAGGAAAGTCCAGGACAACCAACACACAGATCCGCGCTCCATCTGGAAGTGTGGGAGATGAGGACTCTGCCTCTCAGAGGTCAAGACTTTCCTTTGCCTCATGACACCAAAGATAATTCAGATACAAATAAAGGGGAAAGATAAAAGACAAATACTGCCGACTTTATGAATGGCAACAACCATTTCAGTAACCGCATCACAATCTTCAGCAGAAGTTGCCCCATTGAGCCAATTGATGTCATTCTGTCACGAAACACTGCTTAGCTTGGAATCCCTCCACCTCGGCCTGTGTGGCTGGTTGAGGTCGGACTTTGGAGTCACAACGGCGACCTTTTCTTGAATTTATGGCTCCGATGGCCAATCCAAACTTTAAAAACTCATCTCAACATTAGCATTTGGTGGTGCTTTTGTCCGAGCGCGGTGACAACTTTTGTTTCTTTGCGTGCAATCGCGAGCGCGATGAAAAGCCGTCTGCCCTCCGGCCGCTGCTCGGGCATCGGGAGAGCCGCTATCTGGCCCTCGCTAAGCCCCCTGAGCTAATTTGATATGATGAACGGGCAATTTCCTTTGTCTCCACACAGCCAGTTAATTACAATCTCTATCGATAGAGTGCGTCCCACTCCAGCGGTCGCCACTACAGGCCCAAGAGTCACATCTTCAGACGAGCTGCGACTTTGGGATTAATTCAATGGCGTCGCTGCTGTTTTAAGAACAAGTCAGGTAACCAGAGTCGATGCAACGCTGAATGAAATCCTCCAATATTTACAGGGACTTCGTTTAGCCTTGATCACCTGCTGGTAATTAGGGGCAGGATTATAATCAGATGGCCTTGCTTCTGTTTAAAAGGAGGACGTGGACAAAGGGAGGGAGACGGACAGCAGACAGGCAAGGAGAGAGAGGTATTGATCTTTCACCAAATTACAAAAACAATCTTTCATAATCATGGGCAATGTTCCATAGCATGTTTGACATCTGCTGCTAACTCCCTTCACTGTCTGTCTATACACCTCTCACACACACACACACACACACACACAAACATACATACACAGTAATGTAGTGATAACATAATTAAAATCCTGCAAATGTATTTGGAGCAGGGAAATGATAGATGACCCCAGACTATAGTACTGAATTTGATACACTGATTTTCTCACTAAAAAAGCACGCACGCACAAATACACACACGCGCATATGCCGACAGGTATTTATCAGGAGGACAAATCACTTTCACTTGTCTGGGTATTTTTTCTGGAAGCATAATACGCCAGCACCATTCTATAGGCCCATAGGAAGAGTTTCCAGTTTTATGAAATAAGGCGTGCACAAATAATCGATTGAAGATGAGCAGAGGTGATTCAGGAGCCAAAAGCTCACTGAAAACAACCACCGTCACCATGTGGCAACTCTCCTGTAGAGGTGCTGAGCTATTCATTTTAATAAAGGTCTATTAACCAAACTAAAAGGTTCCAGAAAGAGACTAAACATACGTAGCACCTGACACTGAACAGAAGCAAAGTCACAATGACTCCAAGGTCACGTCAGAAAAACTAATAATTGAGCTAACTTTTGGTATAAAAACAAAAAAAGGTTCTCGAAATAATGTGTATGTGAGTGTCAAACGTTTCCTTTTAGGAAGTTTCATCTTGTGTTTAAAAAACATCAGAATAAGATTTGGTCTATTATTTTACCTTAATTATATGGTATATTATACTTTACTCTTGGTAAATACAACAAATCTCGTCCTACAGTGGCACCACATATGGGATTTCTGGATAAAAAAGCCTCACCCACTAACAGTAGAGTCTGATCTCTACCCAGTACGCAGCCTTTACTATGCAGTGGATTTCTGGAAATGGCTGCGTGTGTCTGTGAGTGACATCCGATTAAAGCGGGGGAAAGTTTCCTATGAATGTTCCCTGCAGGAAGAAGACTCAACAGCTAAGCATTAAGTTGGAATTCTAAATTATTTATTATTATATTCTAAGTATTTGGCTGAGGATATTCAAGCAGAAGAGTACTCGGCTGAGATCCTTCAGAAAGACGGGTATCTTTTTTACAAGGGCCCTCGTCTTTTTTTTAGTTTCCAGGATGGGTTTTCAGAACGCCAAGGGGAGACCAAGAATCCTTAATTTCTATATGAGATGGTAATAAAAGTCGACAGCAGCATCTAATTCAGCTGATCATGACACAGATGACGCTGGATGCATCCTGGTGTTTAAAGAGGAAGATAGTGAAGTCTACCTCAATGCTACCAGAGCAGGTTTGGTCGATAGAGATTAGTTGGTTAGCAGGATATTTACCAATGACAGTTTGGTTGCAGGCTTTATATTTATATATTTATTGAGAGATAATGCTCGTTACAGCCTCTCGGATGCAGGAAATTTGCTTGTCAAACAAATACCCAACCAAGTCTCATAGCAAAACGCGTAATAGCTACGTTGTGGACCAACGTGCTATTCTCACGCTTTCTCAGCAAAATCGTGACAATACTACGTTTTATTTTGGCCCATTCATTTACATTGCCTTGCAACTACGTCACTAGAAACTAATAAACAGAAGGTCTTCTACATTCTCTGATAGAAGATTATGAAAATATATATAGTATAGCAGAGATAAAATAAGTATGCCATTTTCCAGCAGAGGCCTAAAAAATAAGAGGTTAATGTATATTGACGGAAAACTGCAATATGACCAATTAATATACGGTTATATCCAGTAAAAACAACATTTCATCTCTGTCACTCAGAAGGGAGTCAGAAGGGACATACACAGACGCGTCACAATTATTAGAAAAGACACGTGGGGATGCAATCTAATATAGTGAAATCAAAATGTGTACATACATATATAAATATATATATATGTATATACACATTTCCCCTGTGTGGATCCTCTCCTTTTCAAGCTTGTCACCACAGCAGGCAGACAGGCATCCTGTGGGGACAACTGAGCACACACACACACATGGATTGGGCTTGTGAAAGAGCTCCTGTCGTCTTGGAAAATCAGTATCCTAAACATTAAGCATTCAGGAAGGAATATCAAACATACCTCTGCAAATGTGCAAAGTGGAAAATATAAAAAACAGATTACATTATGGCAACCGTTTTCCCCGTGAGTACGGCCGAGGGGAGTTGAAATGATTATGTCCCGCGTTTTTCAATATATATTGAACTCCACAAACTCCCCGTGAGACTGTAATTCAAAAGATAAAAGTGGGAAATCATATATTTCGGTACATTTTATGTCAACCACTAGCCCAACATAGAAGGTAACTAACATCATGAAGTAACACATGTGGCTGAGGAATTATCTCAGGACTGTGTGGGCCAAAACCTGTTGTATGAAGTCAGAATAGGCCACTCAAACGCTGTATATATATATATATATATATATATATATATAGCCAGAGGCTGACATGTACGTCGTGCTGTGGCACCGTTTCTCAGCTGCATTCAGACTTTCAGGTGAAGTGCAATGTCATCCATTATTTGGCTGATTCAACTCAGACTGTGAGCTGTAAAAGCTAATCTGTAGGTTTGACTTGTGCCATTCTCGGTTGCTGTAAATTAGTATTCTAGTCTGTATTAGTTACAATTCACCTACAAATTAATTGATTTTTGAGATGTTTGAATTGGTTTAGTTATATTGTCATGTTTAGTCTTTTTGGATTGAGCCCTAAAATATCAGGAATTAAGGCTGTGAATAAAGAAATGTGTTTCAAATAAAATACGGAAATGTAATAGAGAAACTAGTTGATATATTTTCAGATGGAATGGCTTGAAGAATTTTAAAGATAAGTATCATATGGCATCAAGGATTGTAATACGATTAGATTATTCAAACTGTATATTTTCATTGAGTAGGAAAGATAGATCAACTGTGACTTACTCATCCCTTACCTCCCCCCAAAATGGGCATTGGCCAAGTATCATTTTGTGGATCATTTTACAAAAATGCACCTGTGAAGAGATTACTAACTCTTCATGGCACCAAAGCCCGTGCAGCGCAGGTCTTTTTAAATGCTTATTAAACGTTTATTTGGGTTCTGCGTGTGAATGTGCGCGCAGAGACACGGATCCGTCCTGTTTTGGGGAAAAAATCCTTTCAAATTCTCAAATTGGTGCATCTACGTGTTGGATTCTCCTTGCACTCACCTCGGTTTGTGGTTCCCGGATCCGACACGATACTTCCCAGCAAGGACAGAAACGCCAAGTATTTCCCACTGGAGCACATCGTGGAGTCGGACACGAGCGCGCTCTGAACTAGCGGGCTGCGCAGACTGCTGAATAGACCCCCAAAGTGAGGAGCTAAGGAGGTTTCATGTGAGATCCACTCTCACAAGGCTCTCCGATCCACGCGAGTTCCTATTTACTTATTGTTCAGCCATCCCGACCCACTCCACGTGGACACGAGCGGACAGACGATGCAAACAGCTCGCCATTGCGCACAAAAAAATATATTTTACAAGTTGGCAAAAATTAAACGATTATGTGGTATGTGTTTGGGAAAACGGGGTGTTCGGCACGTGCGGACTATCCCAAAAGTCTCCAGAAGTGATCTCCCCGGATGTGCGTTCGTTCAACGGCTCTAATTTAATGTTTTCGTCCCGAAACGCGCGAGAGAGACAGGAAAGAGAAAATCCCGGACTTTCCGCCAGTGCGTCGCTCACCGTGTCTCTGTATCACTGCATGCACCTCTCTCTCCCTCTCCCATCCCTCTCTCTCTCTCTCACCCTCTCCCATCCCTCTCTCTCTCTCTCTCCCATCCCTCTCTCTCCCTCTCCCATCTCCCCCCCCCCACCCCCTCCCTACCATTTCTCCCTTTGAGGACGGATGCTCTTAAGGCAATTTGCATTCCTCAATTCCATCTAACTTGGTCTTTGTGATGTCTCACATGTGTCTCACTTTACCCCATGTAAATCGTACCTCCGTCAGACGGACTGTGCGGGCTTGTCTCTTATTGATTCAGAGGGAGACACTGAGGAGATGAGAGGAAATATGAAGCCATTATGGAAGGCGGCGTATCCCATCTGTGCCATGATGTAGGTTACCTGCATTGGACTATGTTGGAATAGTAATGCGTCTGGGACGGTTTCTATTAAGGGTGGCAGGGGAGGAAGGCGGGCAGACAAGTGGAGTATAAGTTGATATGGGACCTGGTGGGTTGAAGGCGCGCAGCAACACACACGCACACACACACACACACACACACACACACACACACACATTTATTATTACATGTACCCATGAGTCACTTCACTGTTAATGTAGATCCAAACATAAAGTTCCTCTTGCCCTCCAACATAAATTGGTGCAACACAAAATTGATTTATTAACATTATGAAGGTTTTTTTAATTACTCTATTTTTGCAGGAACGTATTGGACCTAAAGGAATGGAAAATACACAGGACTCCCAGTTGTAATCCTTTAAAATGCTCGCATCACGTATTGTTTTACGGTACCTGCTCATTATGACAAATCCACTCAACACCTCCACACTGTAATTGAGCTTTGGTTGAAGGACGTCCTGAAGATTTCCATCCTTGCTTCAACCTGTCCTGACTAATGGCCTGTGAGTTTTAATTTGTAACACAATAGCGAAAACGATTGTAAATAGTCCACATGGAGAAGATATAATGAGCCCTTTGTCTTCAGAATCACAGCCACGCTGCTGCAGGAAGAAGGTGCTGCTGGGACCGATGGGTTACACATCGGTCACTCTTTGTCTGTTTGAGTGATTATTCAATAACTCTGGCCTTACATTGGCGATAGAATCTTCAGGTAAGGGATGCAATTCAACAATGTTAAGAATGAGGTTGCTGTTGAACAGAAACTAAATGGTGTTGTAGATACAGCCAATGTGGATGTCTTGCCCTTTTCAGACACCAAGTGAGTCAACAGGATGATTGCTAAACTTAACTTAGTTTCTCTCTTGGGCTGCAACGGTTTCAATGTAATATCATAATGAAACCATTTCCTGGAGGCCAAACTAGTTATCGAGCCATTGTCAGTGTTTCTCGTGGGCCGCCGATATGCAAAGCTTTGAATTGATAGAATATGAACATAGTCTTTGCGACGTCACCAATAGATTTCCAAAGAGCCACTAGGAGGATAAAGTATAGCGAGGCCTCACCGGCAGTGACTTCTTTTTTTAAATCCAAAAATGGGCAAATAAGTGGATCGTTGGTGTGGCGGAGGTCAGCCAGGGGAGCAGATTGGACTGCTAGTAGCGATTAATCACTTCTACAGTTACCAGAGATGTCAGCTATAGAGACTTAAACTGTTTTAGTGCCAGGCTGTAAACATGGTCATTTCTTGTGTAACATTGGGTATTTTAGTCTTGGGGTCATTAGAGTTGGAAGGGCTTTTGGAGTCGGCTTCAAATTGCTATTTGAGGAGCTGATGTTCTCTCTTAGAATTTCCACGTTGGCTTCATTCCTCAGTTACACGGGTTGCCACTTGCCCTCAACCCAGGTGGTCATTTTTGAAAACATGGAAAATGCTTATTTTCTAACAATACTTTTCATTGCCTCCCTGAGTAAAGTTTTCTAAGAGGGTCTTTTTTTGGAAGTTTGGAAACCTGTGTGTTTGTTTACACAATGTAAAATAACATAATTTAATAGGATTTTTGAGCCCCCCAAAAGACAATGACTGGCCTGATTCAATGAAGGAAACAGGACTCACCTCTTTTCTCAGTGTATCTCAGTATCCACCAAGACTACCACAGTATTTCAGCACCATGGACAGCGGCTTCAATCTGATTAACATGGAGACACTATTATTGGTCAAATGTGTTTTCCCTTACTTTCAAATATTCATTTAGCTATTTAATTCAAAGGCTTCTGCTTTTGTCGTTTCAGGTTTAGCTCAATTCCAATGATGTTGGAAATCCATGGAATTTCCACTCTTCTCCAAGTGTCAGGATATGCTGAAGTTAAAAAATCACACAACCTTTTGGATTGTATCCTTACATGATATTTCTGTTTAACGTTTCCAATAACCTAATTTTACCCATGTATTTGGTTGCTAGAGGATTGATGGTACTCACTGTGAGCTGACCACAGGCCACTCCTTATTTTATACCTTCGTGTTTTCAGTCCCTGACCGACAAATTGCCATTTTGATGTTGAGTCTAACCCTCAACATTTGGTTCCTTTTGTATTAGCAAGGTTGTTTAGCCCCCCCAGCATTTATAAAATGAACATACAGTACATCCATCAAACTTATAGAAAAGAAGGGGCTGCAGAACATCCAAATTTAACCTTGTGGTGTCTGTCAAATGAATAAATGCAAGTAAATAGCACATAGCACTTGGCTGCCCAGTAGGGGATTTTTGACATCCACTAATGGTTTCTACTGGAAAAATGTGTTGTTAGAAGTTCAACTCCTCTTGGAAGGCATATGTCAATCTTCTAATGTGTCTATAAAATGTAAGATCTATAATGCAATGGGTGTCTTTGGTTTCCTGCTGAGGGGAGAAGGTTAACAGGGATAGTGCTCAGCAGCTGCATCATATGTGGACACCAATTCTTTTAATGAATATCTGTGAGTAAATTGCTTTGGCTTTCAATCAAGGTCTAGAATTACAGTTTATTTATCTTAAAATCTTATCTTATCTTATTTTAAAAATACAAATAAAGTAGGTTTACAATAAAATTATTTCATAAATTTAACTCTGTTTGAATCTTAATTTTATAGTTTATTCTACTCTAGTTTTCCAGTCTGTGTCTGGTCTCCGACAATCGTATTTCAGTAATAGTATAGTATTTTTTTTACATTTGATAAAACACATGTTGTCATTGTTCATCCTCATAAAAAAACACTTGGCAGCTCTTATAGCCAATGGGCTAAGAAAACCAAAAACAATGTGAATGGCAATTTGCAAGGGTACATTTCAATTATATAAACTTGAAGATCTAATTGAAATCTTACAATTTGATTCCATAATTAATCTAAATATTTTTGAATATTATTTGTGGGATAAACTGTACATATTATAATAACTATGCTTTAGGGATTTCTACAGAACAGCAAATCGGCTTACTGTTTAGCTTTGGGGGAAAAAGTGATGTTAGCACAGAAAACACAATTTGGAAAAAGGTTACACCAAAGAGACGTGTAAAATGTAAAGAATTATGCTCTCATCACAACCTGCAATATCTCAGCACTGCAAGATTGCTTTTTTCCTCCTTTCTAGTGAATAACCATCACTTTACATCCACCACAACAGCTTCAATTCCCCGTACATTGAAAACTAACACATCTCGTTATTACAAATATTGAAACACATATTGCATCACACAGTCTGGCTCGTGATGTGATGATTCCACACTGATTTGTCATTTACACTTAATCCTTTATGACACAGTTGTTCTGCCCGTTTGCCTTCGATGGAAATGATCACAACATTTTCCACACATGTAAGTGTTTGCTAGATAATGCTGTTCAGGGACAGCCTTGCTGTGTATTTGACTCATTTAGCACCTATGTGAGATGTTTCTATATTCAGCATGGAGCATCAGGGAAACCGTATGTATGCTTGAAAACAAGCTAACAGGAAGACATCCTACCGAGTAAGAGGCTAAAGTGAGAGGGCGCATAATGAGTCGAATGAGGAACACATTTACTTACTACACAAGCTACAGAAATCGTTGATGGGGATGAAAGACCAGTCTGTTAAGATAACATAACACAGTTAATACAAAATCTATCAGGGGGAAGTCTTTCAGGATAACCTGAGGAAAAATAAACCCCCAGTTTGGTCTTGATGGGGATTATTAGTCTTCAGCTGAAGACTGACTGGAAACTAAAGTGCTGCACCACACATTGTGCTGTGTGATTATTCCTGATTTAGTCTGCCTGTCAGTCGACATCTAATTTACAGCATCCAAACCTCATCCTTCTGCTCCCTATTGTCCCTTGCCTCCTAGACCTCTTTCCTATCTGTGTCTCCTTCTCCCTCTCCTCAGCCTTCAACCGTGTTCATTATTTTGGCCTCCCCAACACCTCTTCTGCTTTTTGGTCCCTCTCTCTTCTTCTCCAGCAACAACCCTTTCCTCTCCTTATGATCTTCTGCTGTACCACCGGGCCACTAACCCACGCATTATTTTCACTCCGTCCATCACACTCCGGTATGTGTGACCTCTCTCTCGTTCTCTTTCCCTCCTACCATTTCTCCCTTTGTGAATATTTCATGATTTGGTGGCACAGTGCTGAGGTGAGGAGCTTTCTCTTTCTTAGATTTCACAGCACAAATATTTACTCTGGGAGCTGGGTTTAATTTAGTATAAGCAGAGACTAACTGTGTGTGTGTGTGTGTGTGTGTGTGTGTGTGTGTGTGTGTGTGTGTGTGTGTGTGTGTGTGTGTGTGTGTGTGTGTGTGTGTGTGTGTGTGTGTGTGTTTGCCTTATAAGTAACAGTGATTGGATGTGGCATGGGCCCCAGGGGGGAAAGGAGGTCTTTGGTCCTTCCTACATTGATGTTACTGCTCCATTGCACAGCTCTCAGAGGTCTTCCAGGACAGGCAGACAGACAACCAGACAGACAGAGAGGGACGGAGAGACAGACAGACAGATAAATCCATAGAGAGGATAAACATATACTGTAAGGAAAGGAAATATAAGGTAAGGGTAAAGGTGGGAATAGAAGGCAGGACAAATGAGATGAAGTAAAGGCCACAGAGAGTGAGC